TTCTCCTTAGGGTTTCAGTTTTGATATATGGAATCGGCTTTCTATACTATTTCTATGAGATAATACAGATTATTTTCATACCCTTTTTACTTATAGGAATCATGATTTTTTCGACCTCGAGTTTTTGACGGATTTTTACGTTTTGGAGTCCCCTGAATCCGTTTCGACTATTTTCGCGATGATGTCTGTGTGTCTATACTTAAGCTTTATTCCGGGCTGCGGTGAACTGATTAGATTTTATGCAGAGTTGGAATATCGGGGGGGGGGGGGGGGGGGGGGGGGTACTTTATAGTTTATTAGTTATTTACGTCTGGACAAGAAAATTCTTAAAATAAAAGTTACTTCTAATATTATTCCCTATATTTGCCATGTACAAAATTTTCCTAAAATGGTTCGTATTCGAGAAATCTGACAAAATGTAAAAAATTAAAATTTTTAATAAAATTATTCAAATAAAAGTTATTTGTGGATATCATTCTCTATAATTCTTGTTTTATACATAATTTCTCTAAAATGGACCGTATTCGAGAAAAAGTGTAAATTTCGAATTATGAAGAAAACTCAAAAACGGATGAATAGAAAAACACCATAGTTTATCTTTAGGCTTTAATCAATCCTGCGGTAAAGTGATTAACTTTTTGGGCATAGTCGGAAAATCTGGAGGTACTTTATAGGTCGTTTTTCAACTTTATGGAATATCTGTTATTTACACTTTGAGAAGAAAATTCTTCAAATAAAAGTTGCTTGTAATGTTATTTTCTATAATTTTTGTCACATACATAAATTTCTTACAATGGTCCTTATTCGAAAAATTTGACAAAGAGCAAAATTCTAATTTAAAAAAAAATTGTTAATCTAAAAGTTGTTTGTGTTATCGATCTCTATAATTTTTGTTTTATACATGATTTCTCTAAAATGGACCGTAATGGAAAAATTTGAGGAAAAGTGTAAAATTTTAAGTATTTTTGTTGGCAATGATTATATAAAAAAATGTTTCGAGTAAGATGTATGTGGAAATAGTATATTACATTACGCGTGTGGAAAGTGACATTTTTCACACGAGTGTGGAAAATCACTTTTCACACAGGTGATGTACAATATTTTTCCTACGACCACAAAATAATGTCATCAAAAAAATGTAAAACCTAGGTTATTATTACTATAATTATTAAAATGTATTTAAAAAAATAATCAACAATAATCGTATTTATTCAATTTTCATATTTTTTAAACAAAAAAAAAACTAAAAAAAAAAAAAAATAAAAATAAAACGCCAGGATTTGAACGCGGTCGAAAAATGGCAAAGTTGATAAGTTCGACGTCGTAACCACCTGAGCTAATAGCCCTTGTGTCAATTGAATGATCTAATCGGTTATGTATTTAACCAGAATAAAGAGCAAACATTATTTTAATAATAATTGTTAAAGATAAATATCTAGGATCTAATTTACAACAATTTCAATAATTTAACAATCATATCGAGTTTAGTATTAATATGGAGATTACATAGATCAAAATAGAAATTAGGTGTTTGACATTTTGTGACGGAAAGTAACATAATCTCACTCTGGTGGAAAGTAAATTCTTATTCATACGCGTGTGATATAGGGCACTTTCCATAGGACTATATAGTGTGATGTGTCACTTTCCTAATTGGTCGTAGGAAAATGAATATATTTAGTGCATCCTGTCAGCTTTCAGGGTTTAGGACGATTTGTGATAATTACTATGTATCGCTGCGATAGATAATTCGTTCCCAAACAAGGGTGGTATGTAAAACTTTCAAACTTTTAAATTGAGTTATTACATTATAAATATGATTGTGAATAAAATAAAATTAGCACTTACCTTATGTATCAATTTTTAATACAACAAATAATTCCAAACCTAGATGCTTAATCTGGAACAACTAATTTCAAATTTTTTTTAAGAAACGTATTAAAAAAATAGTATGGTCATTTATTATATAGCAAATTATTTTTACAAGTATTGTGTGCGGATATCTTAGTTTATTGTTTATTATTCTATACTTTATTACGTTTTCAAAAGCTGTATAAACTCGCATCACTTTAGTTTTTTAATTAAATCAATTTTAAATATGGAGGCTGTAATTTGCGGTACAGCTCTGATTTCTAACAAAACGGAACTATTCTTTATACATATATTTCGATCAAAAAAACGACGCTAAAGTTAAATCAACAAATACAATATTATTTTTTTGCTAAATCAAAATTATCGGTAATATTACGTGGCACATTTTGAAAGTAAATACAGTTTTCTAGTAGGCATGCTTGTAGTGATGTAGTCGTTATTCCATGCATGTCAGTTGCTTGTCATTTATCCAGTTATATATTTTTTTAATACTAGAAATTTCTGGATTTTGTAACTAGTGAATTTCATCAGTTTTTCTATCTAATTTTTTTGTTGCTGACGATCCATTAGTCTTACAGAAGTATTAATGTGGTACCCTTATTTGAAGAGTGTATAAGATAAACTGCTCAGAAATGTTGAAAACTTTATATAAAAATTAGTGATGGGCCGCTTGGAAAAATTTACGGACAAGTCCAAACACACTTTTCAAAAGTGGAAAAGTGTATTGCGCATGCGCGAAATTAAAATGACTAATTTGTTTGAATTTCTTACAAAGGCAAAATATAGTTTAAAAAAGAGAAAACGACAATGATTACAAGGATGTTTTCGAATTTTCGTTTCATATCTCATTAAAATTACCAAAAAATTCAAAAGCTGGAAGTATTTTATAAATGATTTGCCTAAAAAACGAAAATACAGATTAAAATATTGTTCTCAAAGTGTTTTTGAAAGATGAAGATTTAACTGAGTATCTTCTATGCCTAAGGTCGATTACTTTTCATTGTGAATTTTCACTACTTTTCCGGATATGTCCGTCGGACTAGTTCAAAAATTTTTTTTCATGAGAAGACCTATCACTAATAAAAATAGTTTAAAATATGGGAAAACCAATTTTTTTACATATTGTTTTTCTTTTACTCGCCAAACAATAATTACTTTAAAAATATTTATGTTCAAAATATAACTAAAAATTGTTGTTTTAACGTTTTTAACTATGTTAATGAAGTATTTAAAAGCATTTTGGGCCTTAATTAAGAAAAAAAAAAAAGGAAACAACAGTAAACGCCACAACTTAAGAAACCAGTAAACTTGTAACACAGGCTATTTATTGAAAAACATTTACGCTGTCACTGGAAAAATCGCAACACAAACAAAGCAACGCGAATCAATTATTAAAAAAAGAAAAATAAAATAAAAAAATCTGTAAATAAATATTAAGGTATTTCTATTTAACAATGTATAGTTTATAATCATCAACCTTTCCACAAATCTACAATTAAGAACATTACAAGTCATTTGTATTTTACGTAAAGAAACAAGAAACATTTTTTTACAAGGCTCCGTGGTATATAAATAATAAAACAAATTACAATAAAGTACAACTAAGCTAAACATAATAAACAATGTCGATCAACAACTGTACGCACATATGGTCTGCCCAATATAAGGAATAGTACAGCCAAATCTCAAAATCGATAAGAGCAGTTAAAAAAATGATCATTTTAAAATATAATAAATCATAAAAATTATAGTTTATTTAATAATTTCAAAGAAACTTTTATGGAAATGAATTATTACTATTCACGACTGTATTTTTATTAAAACAAAGTAAAAAAGTATAAATGACGTGAATTGGAAAACACAGAGGGGATTATTTAGAAAATGTGTTTGTTCACTATAAAAAAATAGGAGAAGGGTCTTTCTTCAATTCTAAGAAGACAATGTGTGTGTGCAAACAATTTTCGATTATATCACATTTTATCTTTTATAAGGTAATACAAAAAAAATTATATTTTTACTTACACAATTTATGCATTTTCTAATAAAGTTAAAAAATTAATGAGTGATCCACTTTGAGCTTTAGAATTTCAATTTACACACCATCTTCATATTGTAAATGTTATAATTCTGTAATACATATTTACAATTGGCAAAATAATCATGCCGCTGTCAGTGAAGCAACTCGTAATTATTATTGTCATAGAAATAAATGTATTATGAAAACAATGTTTACTTATATGTAACTATAAAAAAAAACTTCTGACCCCCTTTTCGCAATAATGGCGAAATGAATGAACACTCCCTGTTCGATGCAATTATGCCATGAATTTGTGAATTAGGCTTTAAGAACAAAGTTGACGTTAAATTGTAAAAAATAATTTTAATTTCATATTGAAATGAACGGATTCATTAATTGTCGAATTTTGGTCAAGTATAAATCAAATTGAACGGATTCATGAATTGATTAATTTTGGTCCAGTAAAAATCAACGTGGAATTTTGAGAAGATGCAGACACTTTTTTGAATGAAATTAACGACTTGAATATCGCCCATTTAGTAGAATAGTATCACAACAAAAAAACAGCTTATTTGGAATACTGGAATATTGCCAGACAAGTATTTTGTTGTGAAATAGTCCGCTTGAGGATCATTGTTCTTTTAACATGAAAATGTTGCTTCAGGGTCCACTGGTAACCAAATATAGTAGTTATACCTGAAGATTTCTTATAATTCGAAGGTATTTAATAAAAATTTAGTTTTTTCTCTCTCTCATCTATTAGGTTTGTGAAGTGGTTTCAGAGGTGGACTTTTTTTAAGGAAATAGTTCATATACTAGCTACGATGTTAAATTTGAAAAATAACATAAGACATTTTTGAAATAGATCTGATATTTAGCGAAAGTGCCCTAGATTAGAATGCTACCTGCCTAGCGGAGTCAAAGGGGATATTTGGCAGACATCATATTTCATATGTAATCACCAAGGATCGATTTTCACCTCTGAGTAAAATTACACGTAGGTTTACTTGTCAGATTAGCAAACTATAATCTATTGCCTAATTAGCAAGTAGTTACTTCCAACTAATTACGAATGTCTCAAATGAGAAAAATTAATTTAATGTTAATTTTTTTCCATTTAGACAACAACACTCCGTAGAAGATCTGGACCGTATTCTACGCGATGTTTTTCGATATAGGCAAAGTCGTCGGTGAACTCGATAAAGGCGAATTCAAAAACGTTTCCGAAGAGGAATTCAAACGATTAGACGCGCTGGCGAACGAAGTCGATTTTTTGAAGATGTGCTCGAAATTTTTAACGGCAATCGATAGCGCTATCGATGTGATGATAAAACTGCTCAAAACTACGTCCGTGTCGGATATGCACGAAGCAATCCAGTTTTTCATCACTGCTTATCAGTACAATATCGATCGAGTTTCCGATGGAATTTTGGGTAAGATTAATATCATTTTTTAAGTACCTACTTGTCTATTTTTTCTGTCTGTGACGGGAAAAAAGGTTGACGTTTTATCTCTCTTGTCAAGTGAAACGACTGGTTCTAAGCCTACTTTATGTTGCTATAATACATACCTACTTTTCGTTGGTTGCAAAAACGATAAATTTTTGCAGAATTTCGCATATAAAGTATGATTGTTTAAGAAAGTGATACATTATTATTATTATTTTTTTTTTTTTTTTTCGTTAAATTCTAAAGTTCAAAGTGGATCACTCTTTACTTATAATATTGGAAAATAAAGAAATTTAAATAAATTACTTATAATAAAATAGATGTAAACCAGTTAAAAAATATTTTGACCAAAATTAACACATTTTTAGATAGATTCCACTTTTAAGTTAATTAGATTGTAATATTATAATTTTGAAAGTAAGCAAAATTAAAATTTTAAAACCATTTTTATATAATCTAATTAGTCCATTATATTATTATTAATTTTAAATTAAAAAACAAAGCAAACATTGGGAGATTTATCTAAAACATTGCATTAATTAGAAGTTTGATGTTGTTAAGATTTTTCAGAAATGATTTTTGTGGCGTTTGAGATTTGATAATTTCGCATTATTTTGGATAGTCCGTTAGCGCACGCGCACACATTTCATGTCGCCCTACGTAAAATCGAAGTAAACAAAAAGTAAAATAGTTGTATAATTATAATATATATTATTTTTATGCCGTAGCTTGTATGGAAAATAACACATTTACAATGTACACCTCTCTTTCTGCTTGTCTCGTGTAAGAACTATGCATATTTTTGTATATAATATATATACAATAATAAATTTGCTATCTATGTACAATTTCTATTAGTAGGTATAGGTAGAATAGACGAAATTTCGAAAAGAATACCATCTTTTTTGAATCGACATCGTGGCTGAAAAGGTTTTTGTTGAAAATCAAGTGGTTTTTGAGGAATACTGTAGCATACATGCTTGTTTATGCTGAACGATTGTAGATAACTTTTGTTTTCAAATTATATTGATTTCCATTAACCTTTTAATTAAAAAAAGAGAAAGCACGATCTTAATGCAAAATATAAAGATGGCAAAACACTTTGAGTTCTTAGATTGATAGTTTTCTAAATGATCGAATTTTGTTTTTTAAAGCATCAAAGGAACATAAAATATCAATAAAAATTGAATTAACTAAAGCCAAAATTACTTAAATAAATATAATAAATCTTTAAACAAGCATATTTCCAATACACTCCTCAATAATTATAAAACAAACCACTAATATTTCACCAATAGTACATCTTTCCTTACCATTTTAACCCAAGTAATAGTTTCAGAAATTTCGCTTATTCTAGTAGCATATCACAATCTGTACAGTTTAGCGGAGAGGAGCAGAGGTTACTGATCAGAAGATGAAGACTCCTCTCCGTCGGTACTGTATGTGTCGTCTTCTTCCTCCCCCTCCTCTCGGCTATTTGAAGACGACGAAGACGCTGAGGACGCGCTAGACGATGATGACGACGACGACGTCGATAGGTCACACAAGTAAGGGCTGTACGGTGGGTACTGGTATACGTTCGCTTGATGCTGTAAAAGCTCTGCTACTGAGTGGTGTTGCTGTTGTTGATTGGCGAGGTGGCTGCCTTCCCAGCAGCCGCTCCCATATTGTCACTTTACCTCTTTTTTGCGTTTATTCTCAACATCAGAAACTGTAATACAAAAATACATGTTTGGGTTTGTTTAACTTACATAAAATACCATGTACACCCACTTCTTTTCTTCTTAATGGCGAAAATGCAGGACTTTGGATGCTTTGAATTATGTGTCTTATGTCTAATAAAATATATATAATATTTAGACACTAATTTATTAACCTTTTTCCCATTCAGCACTTTGAATTTTGCGTAGTTTAGGTGCAAATATTCGTGGACAATTCGGAACAAATTTTCGTTTTTCAAGTTGGAGCCACAATCCTCTATTAATCCGAGTAAGTAAGTCATGGTGCAATGATTGATCATTACATCAGACAATTTCACGCATATTTTGCATAGCGTATGATTTTCAAATCGATTCATTTTTAAACAAATAGGTAATTTTGTTGGTTTTACTTGCTGTGCAATATTCTTTATCGCAACAAAACGCGAGTTATTTAATGTTTTGAACTGTCAAAATACAATGATCACAGCCTCCTACGATTGATGCTTGCTGACGCTGGTTATGAATTTCATACCATTTTAAAGCGCTCATAACGCATGTTAATAAAAACGCAGAAAAACAATTTTCTACCACTTGTAGTTATTCAAAACTTACGTAAAATTAAAGAATATACTATTTTCTATTTTCAAATGGTATTCCCATGCAACTACAATGAGTAGAAATAAGCAATTTGAAGGCCTAAATAATTGCAGCGAAACATTTTTTTACGTCGGGCCGCTTGACAACTTCAAAACTGAAATTATATTCGAGGTTAGGGTCTCACTTAGTTACCATGGCAACTCAACAATCAAGGTGACAACACCTTTTATGTTTCACTGGTGACTTGGAGAAAATAATTTGCATTGTTGAGAAACGAAAAATAAATTTTAAAAATATTTAATTTTCAACCATAATTCGGCGTGGAATTTTCTTATCGAAAACCACGCGAGGTCAAATTAATATCAGGAAATAATTTGACTTCTAGTGGTATTACTAGTGAGAATAAAACCGTTTAATAATAATCTTTATTGGTTCATTAGATCATAATCAAATGATTAGTAGTGTATAAACAAAGTGCATCTTAAAGTTTAAAAAAATCGAGAAATAACTAATATTACAAAAAAATAACAATTACATTGTGGTGGCATGTCGTTACACTCAGTATAAATAAAATGGTTTAAGTATAAACAATCAAATTGTAAAAACCCAACAATATTTTTTATTTATTTTAGGAAATTAGAAATAAATTCTCCTCGATTCCGACCCAGGTAAACCTAGTTTTAATTCTCAGTCAGTCATACTGTCGTTTGAGTACCTGCCGCTCGGTAAAATAAATATTAATTAAATCGTACTGTATTCTTTTATTACAACTCCTCACCAACTCTACAACATAAAACACTAAGTACAGAAAAAGTTTCAAGGATACAAAGGATAAAAAGTGTATTATTATTATTATTATTCTTTGTATCAATCATACCTTTTCAATACTTCTTCGTTGTTTCAGATTACATAAAAAAGGAAAAATAAGAATGTTTAACATGTTAATTGATTAGCAGTTAAATTACAAATGCATTAATAGCACTTAACACGTTTGGAAGTGAATCTTGTGCATTTACTTCATTTGTGTAACGACTTGAAATTAATTTACTTTCTATTTTTAACCTGTTCCTAGTATTTTCGAATATAATTCATACAAACTTTACTATTCAACAAATATTGTTGCCAACTGTCACCGAATACGAATCACAAATGTGGCAAGTACACACTTTAACACTAGTGTGCTTCTTAATTTGAAATATTAAATGCACCAAGCTTGATTGTCACGTTTGTGATTCTATACGTAGGTATTATCACATTTGTCCATCAAAAACTACGAGTTTCACCTTGTATGCACCTGCCACATTTGTCCACATATACATGAATTTAACACAACTTGTTCCAAAATTTCACTTAACACATATGCTTGGCATATACTCTTTACAGTTTAACAGAACCTCCGTAACCCCCATTTTTAATCAGATTTATTTCAGAGTCAATCGACTTCATCCTCTTATAGAGCTTGATTTTTCCTGAAGATTTCAAGGTGAAATCCTTTTTAGTTTTAGAGTTACAATTTTTTTTTTATTTCAACTTTCTTAAGCCCCCCCTCTATATTTATTTTCAAAATCAATAAGCTTCGCCCACTTATAGAGCTTGATTTTTGCCAAAAATTTATCATTTTTCAATTTTGTTTTAAAATCAGTTCATCATTTGGTAACATTGGCGTTCGTGTCCATTGTTTATATTTTAATTTGTATCAATTATAATTTGAAGTTTTTCTTACTTGTAAGCTTTAAATTTGTTTATTTCTTATAGTGTGTGTTTACTTTCCAAGTCGTAAAATGTTGTTTCTTACATAAATGGATATCTACAAATTCACATTATTGAGATTTTGCAAAATTTTGTCTAGAATCAAATTGCAATCTGATTTGTGACGGTTTAATTACCGTTTACATGTTTATAAAGTACTACACAATTCACTTCATAATATAAGAATAAGGATAGTAAGAATTTTAATAAAGTTTGTCAATAATAAATGTTAGGTACCTGAAATGTCCTTCAAATAAAACATGTTCTGCTTTTAGTAAATAAATATTTCTAGATGTTTGTGTGTAGCAACCAGATAGGCGAAGATTTCCATCAAATTAGTCATAATACATGATAAATATTATATTTAAGACGAAAGCACGGAAACTAAACTTAAATTAACACCAAATGATACTCAAAAACACTATTATAATGAGTATATTATCTAAAAAATCATAAATACAAAATCCCGTCCAACACAAACGCAATATAAATAAATAAACATCCTACTTATAGGTGACAAATGACAGGCGCCCGAAAATTAATTTGAATAAAGGTGCGTATAGATATAACAGACCGGGCCCAGGCCAACAAAAGACCCAAATTCATCATATTTGTACAGTGTCATGTATCTAACACTCGATGGAAAGGAACAGGCCTACTACGGGCCGGGCCAAATAGGATCGAAGTAGGCTTGTTTGTTCTCCATCGCTCGGTGGATATACGACACCCTACAACTCTGACGAATCTGTGCCCGTTATTGGCCCTGGCCAGCTGCGGCCCGGCCCGTTATATCTATACGCAAAAAAATAAGCATACAAACACCACTAACATATAATTGACAATTTCACACTAAATTTGAGTCTGTTAAAATTCTAACTCTACAATATTTTATCAAAATTTTCCTAATAATTTAACATTCACTCTTTGAATGCCCATAGCTGTCAGTCAATTTAGCTTGCTTGAGGAGTCCATAGCCAACATCTAAGAAGGTTTCTAAGTGTTTTTTCTGTATTATTGGACGATTGTGACATTTAATTTTTTTGAACAACTAATTTTTGTGAATAGTAAGAATATGACGTAGGTCTTTATTTCATTTTTATATTTATTTCTTGTTGTTATATCTAGTTCAAAATTTTTACTATAGTTTGACGATTTGTTTTCTTGGGAAATTACGTTATTCAGTGTTGCTAAAATGTTTAACAAGATGTTTTATTTCAAACAAATTTAGTTAGGTATTAGGTCGGCAACATAATGTGAAGTGACTGGACAGCTTATTAGGCATTCCAACGACCTGTCAAAATGCTGACAAGTGGGAACTGACAGTTTAGATATCGTAATCCTGTGAGCCTGTTGTCACTGACAAGATCAATGATACATAATAGATCTTTTCCTTTACATCGAAAGTGTAGCACTGAGCTACGCCACTTCTTAAAATATCGTTCCATTTATACAAATTGTATGGATAGAACGATATTTTCAGAAGTTGTGTAATTTAGTGCTACACTTTCGATGCAAGGGAATAGACCTATTATTATGTAATTGTATAGATTGCTCAAAGTCGGTCGTTTTGCGAGCAGCCACTATTGGTTCGCAAGTGCTCATTAATCAGAATCGGTTTAGCAAAAATGTGTTTTAAAACCAATTTTCAGCCTTTGCATCTAATAAAAAAAATAATTAGCTACATTTTTACTTCAAGACATAAGCTTATGTTTATTTTATAAAACATGGATAATCTATATAACTATCTATATCAATGACTCTGTCAAATCACCAGAACTATAGGGTTGCCATAACAACCTGTAATTACCCACGGGCAGCCATTTTGTTTGGAATGCCTAATTCACTCCAAACCTAGAAGGAAATCAAAATCCGATAAATACTTCATATAAAATAAATAGTCTTACTGGGTTATTCAACAATAAGATGGACGAGATTCGTTACCTATATCCAACACTTAGTAGCATTCAATTAAATATGAAATTTTCTTACCAGTACTTCGAGTTTTCCGTCTCGACGCGTCCGACTCGACCTTCTCCAGCACCTTAGTCTCCCCTTTACTCCTTGTATTTTGCGCCGGCATATTGCTCCGTACCGACCTCCTGGTGGTCACCACCATCGCCGCCGATTTCGCTACTGTCGTCGTCGTTCCAGTCGTCGGCACCGACGGCGTCGAATTATTATTGGCAACATTCCCCGGCCCACCCGTTTTTCCTGGCTTTGCTTTCGCCTGAGTATTTACGGTCACGGATGTTTTTCTCACCTTTTCGGAAAGAGGCTCGTCGCTATCGGACGATTCTTCTGGCTGGACCTTTGAGTGTTTCTTCAAATTATTCGTTTTGGTGATAGAGTCGTTCTGACGCTTCACCTGGAATAAACAAATACATTTTGAATTGAGAGTAAATAATTAATTTTTTCGTAAATGTGGCATTTCCATATGAGGAAAGAAAACTATACACCCGGTATTGATTAAATGATGAGGCGAATCTATAAAAAGTTGTGGTAAATGACTGAAAATAATATTCAATGTTGCAAATTATAAGAATAGGAAAATCCTGATCTCTACCAGCGGTAACAATCGTAGTTATCAATACTGGTTCGAATTTAAATAAATGACTATAACCTTAAATAAACGTGCTATATTAGTGACTTATGACAGTAGACTGATAAAAATAGAGGTTATAGGTATTTATTTAAAATGCAATAATAACTTTGTTACATACCCCTAAACTACTTTTTTACGACCTATAAACAATTTTTAATAGTTATTTATGTATCAAGGGCGTCAAATAGGCGTTTATGGACCGCAACGTGGTAAGTAAGAGCCCGAACCGCTAGACGAGGGCTATTATAATTGGATATTAAAAAAAAAAAAAAAAAAAATGGGATAAACATATCAACTCATTTGAAAAAATATGAAATAATGAATAATGTGTCGTTTACAATTTCAATCATACTCTTCTTACACATCCAATCACACTATCTTCTCACTCAACCTTTGCTGAAGTTTTTTCCTATCTAGACCAACTAGACTGGATGTATATTATCTCTGAAAATAATGATCTGAGCTGCATGTGGAATATATTTCAAAACACGGTTAAGGATTGTGTAATATCTCATACTAAAAACAAATTAAATAGAAGAACAAATCTGAAACCCTGGATAAATAATCAACTGTTGTCTATGGTAAAACATAAGGAAAACATTTAAGTAAACCACCAACATGAATGATATTTCTGCTCATCAACTATTCTCCAATTAACTAAAGGCCGCTATTATTGAAGCAAAGCATAACTGTCAGGAGTATATCGCCATCTGCGCTGATAGCAAAAAGTTCCATAAATATGTTAGAACAAATCTGACATCCGAAGTAATAATAACATTTATTCAGTAAAAGTTACAAAAAAGGCCACAATTGAATAAAATGTTAAATAGTCGATAAGCATTGCTTGTTTCGACCTCCGTACCTCTTCTACCAAAAGAAAACAGAGATAAGTGTGCCAACAATCTGCTCACCTTCTTTCTAAAACCTTCTGTAATGTCTTCACCCTTGAAGATCTGACATCACCACTTTCGGATTATTCACTTAACATAATACATGCCTCTATTTTTTTTTGTATACTGTACCTATATTTATTTGTATTTTAATATTTTTTATTCATATATATTATGACTTATCCTATATCATGTAACATGATCCTAAAGGACAAATAAACTATTATTATTATTATTATTATTATTTCCAACGTATCATTTGGCCCAGACATAATAAAAGAAAAATATAAAATGCTTAAGTCCACCTGCTCGCCAGGCTTAGATGGTATCTCCTCTTTTCTTTTAAAATTTTGTGCTGACACTCTCTGTGATGATATTTCCTGTATAATCTTTAATTCTGACATCCTGCCATCTATATGGAAGACTGTGTCAGAGACTGCCATATTCAAAAAGGGCAATAAGCTTAACCCAAATAACTATAGACCGATAAGCCTTGTACCAATAGTTTGTAAATTAATGGAGTCCATAACATGTGATAAGGTAACCGACTTTCTTATAAACGAATGTGTACTTCCCACCCAACATTATGGATTTATCAGAGGATGATCTATCTTAACTAATCTCCTGCAGTCTATCAATGACTGGACAAACGCCTTAGATGTTGGTCTTCCTACAGATGTAATATACTTGGATTTTGCCTAAAGTCTTTGATAGAGTTCCAAAGCACTGACTTCTCAAAAAGATTGAACACCTGGGAATCCGAGACAACTTAATAGATTGTGTAACAGACTTCTTAACCTCTAGAAAATTTCGCGCAAGAGTTGGTAATAGTTTCTCTCAAACTAAATCCGTTTTCAATGGAGTGCCTCAAGGATCAGTCCTTGGTCCCCTACTTTTTCTACTATATACTTCCGATATTTCTGTGCATATAAAAAGCTGTTGCCCCTTCTACGCTGACGATACAAAAATGTACGCTAATCCGATTGCGGATTATCAGTCTCTTCAATCAGATCTAAGTGCGGTATCAAAGTGGAGTTCAGACTGGTTATTACTTGATATATGAGTTGATAATGTGTTGTTCTTCATATCGGTAAAAACAATCCTAAATTGACGTATAATATTAATAATAATGCATTAAAGACAGTATCGTCCCAAAATGATCTCGGCGTTATCATCACTAAAGACTTAAAGTGGTCAGAGCATATATTATGAGTAAGCAAACAATCAAACTCTCAACTATTCTTATTAAAAAAGACTTTTGTCAATGTTTCTCCCTCAACATTTTTGAAAATATACACAGCCTATGTTCGTTCTCGCCTGGAGTACTGTGGTCCTGTTTGGTGTCCAGTATTAATTAGGTTAAGTTGAAAAACAGTGAAAACTGAACTTCGCCCTTTCATCATTTTTAAATATGTTTTTCCTCGCATAATTTACTGTATATTTTCCTTTTTAAGTGATGAATAAAGTCCTGTTATTATTATTATTATTATTATTATTATTATAATCTCGGATCAAAAGAGGTTGGAAAATTTGCAGCGACTTGCGACAAGGCTTCCATATGGTATAAGAACGCCACCATATGAACAGCGTGTCTACTGCTAATCTGACTTTTTTTTAGTGAGCGTCGACTGCGTGGTGTTAATCGTTTGTTTTCGCGCAATTAGACATATTATGTTCGGTGTCGATCTTTCGGATTTATTTGTATTTTAATAATGACCTGCGTGGGTACATATTCAAATTAAAAAAGGAAAATTTTAACTCTAGAGTTAGGCAACATTTTCTTTCAAGCCGATTTTTCATTATTTGGAAAAATTTACTTGATAACGTTGTATGCATACCTACAGTTAACTCGTTTAAAAACAAATTTAATACCTTAGGCTAAGTAGGTATATATCTGTATAGAGATAATAAATTATAATCACAAAAAATTAAATTAAATAATATAACTTAACGTAATCTATTGTCTTTATACTTTTATTTTTTTTATAACAATTTATAGCTATAGTTTATAGACATTAAAAAAAATTATTTATTTTTAATTAAAATTTTTGAATAATATGAGCTTCATACGACTTCGGTTTTCAGCTCATGTCATTGAATAATAATGATAAAGTGACAAATGAAAGAATAATGAATCCATTATAAAAAAAAAACGAGAAAAACTGGCAGTTATAATCTAAAGAAGGAAAAATAATAAAGTTATTTAATAACCCCTAAAGCTTTTATTCTGCTATAATTTAATATTTGGTGATAACTCAGTTCATCATAGGTATCTGACAAGCTAATAACTGAGTAAGTTATTTAACAAGAAAACATTAAAAAATATGTTGAAGGTATGTAGTATTAATGTTACAAGAACGAAAAATTGAGTTTTCTGGGAGACTGCGAGAAGTTTTTTAGATGAGACGTAGTCAAATTATATATTAGTAGAATTGTTTGTATTATGGTACCACCGATTTTTTAGGAACCAATGAAAATAATGAGTTTAAGTTCTAAATTTAAACAGAAATTTTAAAGCACTATCAGCTAGTTGCATGAACGTTCATTAAAATTTACGAGCCTAATAAACTTGACAGATGTTTAGACGGAGAGTAATTTAAAGTTCATGTCATTTGGAACAATCATATTTTCAAGTTCCATCAAAATTTATCAGGGTTATACATTTTTATGGTGGTGTTAAACTTTTATTTATTGCATAAACAAAATTAAATTCATTTATACTAAACAAGCCCATTACAAAAAAAGTGCCATTATACTGACTAGTGTAGTGTATTGTATTAATATTAGAAAATGTTGCTTAATTACCAATGAATCTGCAGTCTGTGACGCCTCATTAGCAGCCGCAACTCTCCGAGATTTCTTCTTCGTCTCGTCCAAGCTCTGATTCGAACTATCCGACTCGTTCCTTTTCCTCTTTGTACTACCAGTACTACAGGCACGCGACGACGGATTCTTAGTGACCGGCGAATTCAGCTCAGGACTGTTCAACTTCGACAGGGCTCTGGTTCTCACTGACGACCTTGTCGCAGGGCTAGGCGAACTAGGTACCATCTGGTGATCATTTGGGATTTCTATCAAAAGCTGTTCCAGTAAGCTTTTGCTTTGCTTGTTGCCCGGCAACGTGCTGGTTGTTGAACATGAGTTACTGTCCTCGTCCGATAGAGCAGGGCTTTCGGACCCGGCGCGTGATTTATCCGGATTTGAGTACGTATACAATGCGGGTGTTACCCTAACGGGGAGAGGTTCCAAATCGTCTTCATCTTTTTTAACCTGAAAACAGATTGGTAAATTATTATAGGAAAGATGAAGTCAAATATAAAAAAGTTTATGAAATAAAACAGGAAAACATAATAAAAAATACTACTTCATCATAATAGAAAAGGTTCCAGAAGAATTAAAAGCTGCATGATACTATCAGTATTCAAAAAAGAATCAATAAATTATTAGTTTAGGCATATATGACTCAAAAAGCGGCAACAGAGAAAAGTTTGGTTGGAATATTATAAATAGATATTTGATACCTTCATATTTTTTGGGTAACTATATTTTCCTGGGATTTTTTTTGTTTAAAGTAAAAACCGTACTTTTTCAGTTCTCCGAAATTATGCATTTTTCGTGGAAAGTGGCTCTATATGAAATTAAAAATAATTACATTTCCTACATTTATTGTATTTGAGGTTTTCTTCAATCAACGATTAAGCCCTTAGAGAGACGCGACAATGGGCGTTCAAAGCAAAAAAAAAAACTCTCAGAAACGGGAATTTCGGCACTGTACGTCGATGTAACTCGAAAATTATTAAATTTATGCAAATAATTTGTTCAAATAACTTTTTTAGGATTCACCCCATATATCAAGTATCAGACATGTAATAGAAGAGGTAAGGAATAACTACACAAAAGCATCAATGCTACTTGGAAGTAGAACACATATAAATGTTGAAATATAAAGTAGATTACATTTAATTAGGACTGTAGGCCATGTGGCCTACCCCACCTCGACCTTTTCAGATCTATTGTGGATATCCTTTAATCGTTGTTTAGAGTACCTTGTCTAATTCGGTCTTTTGTAGTAGACTCCTTAGACTGGGAAGTAGTTCTCCGGTATAGCTGTTGCCTTTGGTTTTTCTTCTTAAAGTGTAAGGAATCTCAGTCTTGCTACACCTTCGCAGTAGCACAATACGTGTTCTGCCGTTTCCTCCTCTTCCTGACAGAATAGGCACAAGGTCTCTTCTGTCAAACCGATATTATACATATGTTTGTTAAGCTTAGAATTCCCTGTTAATAGACCTAATAGTACTCAAGTATTTTTCCTATTAAGGCTTAGTAGATGCTCGGTGAGTTTAGATGATGGCCCTTTTAAGAACTCTTTGGCCTGTCTCTGTCCTGGTGAGTTTTTCCATCACTTCTGAGATTTTTTAAACATCCACTGTGCTTTGTGTATGTTCTGATAGTTGTTTTTGTTACACCACAGAAGGGTTCTGGGCCAATAAGAGCATTTGTGGCTCCTTCTCGGGCTAGTAAATCAGCCTCTTCATTGCCCTTATGTCCTCTGTGGCCTGGTACCCAGGCTAAGGTTAGTCTGTAAAGATAAAGTAAGTGTATAAGACCTATATTAACAATGTGCAGCTGGAACCTGAATAGCAACAATGTGTAGAGAACAATAAAAGGAGTTACTCTACCTGATCAAATGATAAGGGCAGGGCTACATACAGAATATGTAGCCTAATGGGTGAGATCTACGAGATGATATTGAAGGAATCATGAAGTAGGCACATTGAGATATAATCAAGTAAAGACAACATAAACACTATTTTGCGATATAACAGATGGATGCACTTCAAGTGTTGAAAAAGTGTAATCAAAATGGCGACTTGTATTTTGATTTACTTCAAGTCAATAATTGTATATTTGAAGATTGATGGAATGAAAATGTTGTTATATCATTTAAATGAAGCTATTTTAAAAAAAATGGCTAGGTACACTAGCTCGAGTTTGACATGATGTTAAAGTGTAATGCAAAGGTGAGGACACTTTAAGTATCATCATAGCACCTCCTCTTTATTCTATCTCAATTAGTAGGCAGGATAGAACGAGACAGAATAGCAAAATGAATCAGAGAAAAAAAAACAACAATTTATGCAGTATAGTATTTGGATAATGTAGACAGCAAACATTTTGCACATGCAATTTCCTACATGTTGATTTAATATCAAAACAGAAAGGAATTTAGAATTCCAAATTTGTAGATAATGATGGATGAAATGTATACTTACTCTTAAGATTATTATGTAACTTACCTTGTGAGACACAAGATTGCTGTCAACCGATTGCTTATTGGTAGGAAGAGTAGGAGAATCTAGGTCTTGCTTGATGTTATCTTGCAATACACACGTTAATTCGCAACATTTCGCTGCTAGATCTTGATGGCATTTGTTTTCATTAACATCTTCCACTGGTCCCGTTGTAGTACCTGTTCAAAAAAGCATTTGTAAATATGATAATATGGAAAGAAATACAATTTATATAAAAGCAAAATATTACTTCTTGTATTTTTTAATAGTAAAACAATAATAACATCAAAATATATTCCTTGGCCAAGATCTCTTTATTACCTTTAATTTTTCACAATTTCATTTTATAATTCGGGACAGTTATTCTCCTATGATTGGAATAACACTGCTGAAAGTCTACAAAATCTACTAGAAGTTGTAAGAGACTAAAAAAGTGATGATGCCATGTAGGGCATCGAATAATAACAAATTGAAAGAACAAGTCAATTAAAGTTAAATAAAACAATATAAAATCTTGTCTGAAATATTTAGATTAGAGATGAGTTACAAACCCTATGGGAATTCAGTATTATGGTAAAAATCGACCCAGAAAAAGGTTTACCACAGGATATTTAAAATGGCATGTAACGTAAAAAAAGCAGTTATTTAGAAGAATAAGGTCTTCTCTGGACATTTCATTAGAAATAAAAAATCGACTATATACTGCCAAATAGTGATGGGGACATGTCCAAACAACTATTCAAAGTGAGAGTTGCACGAAATAAAATAATTTGGTTGAATTTTTTACAAAGGGAATGTTTTTGACTAACTTTCGTATCTATCTATTTATCTATCTGAATTAGAGTGTGGCTCAAAGCCCACTTGTACTGAAGCTCTAGGCTTATTTTACCCCTCACAGTTTCTATCCCATCAGATTGATTTTCTTGATGAATTCAAGAATATGTCTGATCGGCGCTTTCGCGATTTCTTCAGGTTCCGGATATTGTACCCCGAAGTACTATTCCCGTTCCCATTTAAGGTTCCGACAGTGGCATAGTATGTGAATAGGAGTTTCGTCCTCCTCTTCACATATTCTACATAGGGAGTCATCAGATATCCCTAAGAGATTTAGTTGTCTTCTAAGGCCGCAGTGTCCCGTAAGGAGTCCTATTACGGCCTTGAGTTCGCTTCTGCTAAGGTTTATCAGTTGATTTTGTCTGCTCGTGGATGGCCCCTCTATGAATCTTTTGGACTGTCTAATTCCAGGAAGTTCCAACCAGAGCCAGAACTTTCGTAACTTTAATATTGTTATTTTTTGTGTATAGGTCATAATGAACTTGTTCCTTGGTTTTAAGACTAAAATGTACAAAATAACTTTGAAATTTTAATGTATGTTCAGCGATAACTCTTTACCATATCCGATTTCTAAGATTTTTTTTAAAAATGGGGTACCCCATATAAGTTGGGTCAAAATTTGATGATGAGATCCATGAGAAAATCAAGCACTTAATTTTTGAATTCGTTTTTTTTTTTTTTTTTAATTACTTATACAACTTGTATAAGTATATTTAATAAACTACTTACAGTAAAATTACATACAAAATTGTAAGTACTGTGTAATTTGCTTGGACAACAACAAAATTTGTATTAGATTCTTTTGACGTTTACAACTAATAATTTTTTTAAATAATACAGGGTGTTTCATAATATATGCGCAGGACTTTAGGACGTGATAGCTCGTCCAAAAATATGAAAAAACATTTCTATTAGCTTACCCTCTAAAATGCACCATTTTCGAGATACGGGATGTTGAAATTGAAAAAAAAACCATGTATTTCAACCATGTATTTCAACATTAAAATTTGATTTTTCTCGAAAACGGTCCACTTTAGAGCGTATGACCAAGAGTACCTTTTTTGTGTAGAAAACATTGGCGGTTCAAATGGGCGTCTCAAAACCGTACTTTTTCCAGTGGCGTAGAATTTTTTTTTTTTTCAATTTCAACACCCTGTATCTCGAAAATGGTGCATTTTAGAGGGTAAGTTAATAGAAACGTTTTTTCATATTTTTGGACGAGCTATCACGTCCTGAAGTCCTGCGCATACATTATGAAACACCCTGTATAATTTTTTTTTTTGTACCATAGGGATTGATATAATAACTTTGCAACGGCTATTTTTTACTTAGAAACACATGGTGAATTTATTAACACTTTATTATTCAATCAATTTGTAATTTGGTTTTAATATTTAACATTGCTTATTATCACATCTCTATTATCATATCATCTTTTCTTACAGGCCTGATGATTGTCATTAATAGAAACTAGTTGCACTTCACCCTGTTCAATTCTATTGTTTCTTTTTTCCTTTATGAATATACACCACATTTTAGATATCAATAAACTTCTTACATAATGTAATCTGTTTTCTAAAATATTCGATCCTAATATTTAGAGAAAATGGTACCTTAATACAGATCTGAATTATTCAACATAAAGAATAATGGCTGCATCAAACCAAAACAATAATAAATATTTACTGGTAAAAATGAACATATTTCTTATTTTTCAACATTAACACTTTTATGATTGACATAACACCAAAAAATTATTCAAAAAATACCAGTCAATGTTGATTCAACCTAGAAGAAGATGAGCATAGAATAGAAATCTCCCGTATTTTGTGGAAATTCGGGTGAAGTCGCAGAAACGCCGATAATAAATTGGTGGGTTACTGTAGGTTGAAATTGGCAATGTTACATCTCTGGTCTCTTTAATCTAAGGCCACAACTAATCAAGATGTATTTGGTGATTCATTAGTAGATGTAGAAGGCAGAGAGAAGCTGGACAGGCCTTTTGCAATTTCCACACTTCATATACAGAATTTTACAGTGTTACCGCAGAGATAACCGAAGTGAGCGTGATATTGGCGTAGAAAATTATTTTATAGATGCTAATAACAATTTTTCATAGTCATATAGTTTAATTTATTGTAAATGGATGTGGGAATTTTGTAGAATTATGATTTGGGATATTATAATACTTGTTCAAATACTTATTTTGAGGCCATCAATACATACGATTACCCAGTTTTACCAGTAACAATTTAAATTGATTGGTATTATTTTAATTCTGCAATATGACACTGGTGGACAAACATTACCGCGAAATATGTCTTACCTTCTATCCTATCACTGTCTCCATTAAGCCCTTCCATTTTGGCGAGCTGCGCCTCAATGTCCAGCATGTTAGGCACTTGAGTCTTGGGAGGTAAAATGTCGGCATGCGGACTTTGACTCGCCTGGTTGGGCGATTTTTCGCTGAGAGCGTCCATACTCTCTATGCCGCTATCTTCACCCTGATTGCCGCCCGAATTGGGTGACCGGTTGCCATTACCGCTGACCACCACTCCGCCGACTGATACGACGGAAGGCTTGTCAGCTGCATCGACCGACTTTCGGTTATTGGGCGTGTTACATTTGTCAGATTCCGGGGACTTATCATTGATAGGAGTAGGCTCGGGTATCACCTTTATTATCTGAAATAGAAAAAGATCAAGTACTGTATAGGTATTATATTTTTTTTAAATAAATTGTTCTCTGAATTAAATAAATATAATCACAAAGGGAAGGAGAACTTAGAGCAACAATAGTAATAAAAAAGGATACTCATAAAGACCACTATTGGTTAATATTGTCAGGAATGAAATGGTCATCTGGCTACAGAATGGGAACAAAGAAATAAAAATATGGTACTAAATGTTACAGTCTTAAAAACAAGAGTGCAAGAGTAGTTCCAAAGAACCTATTTCATGTAAATTCGATATTTAAACAAAATCTAGATTTAATTAGAATGCAATAAAACCAATAACGATCTATACCAGAAAAACGAGACCCAAAAAATACAACAAACTAAATAAAAACATTAGTGATGGTCGCTTGGAAAAGTCCACAGACAAGACTCTCATTTCACTGATATATACAGTGTATCGCAAAAAGTTGTATACAATCAGGAAAAAGTATCTTACATTTGACAAAAAAAATCATTAAAAAGTTCCACATCACTTGGAAATCCATACACATGAAATTAGTAAAATTAGAAAAATTTCAATACAGTTTAGCAATGGTTCTGACATATTTATTGAAGTAAATTGAAATATAGAGGGTGTTCCGTTACATTGGGACACCATAAATGTCGATGTTTTATATTTTTTTCACCATTGATATTTCAAAGTAAAATGTTTCGTCCAATACTAACTTTTCTTTTAAATACTACTAATTTGTCAATCTATGCCAAAAAATTTAAAAAATTACTGAAATTTGTTCATTGACAAATACGAGGGTGGTTTGACAAGTCCGTGACTTTTTGAATTAAATACATTTTTTTGCCGTCAAATAAACGTTTTATTTCTCAACATAATCTCCTTTTAACTCGATACATTTAGTCCAGCGTTTTTTAAATTTTTTATTCCTTCCAAATAATAGGTTTTCTCAAGGTCCTCATAATAGATATTTGTTTCAGTGACAACCTCTTCATTCGACCCAAATCTCTTACCACCCAGCCATTTCTTCAGGTTTGAAAATAAGTTCGCATAGGGCTAAATCTGGAGAATATGCTGGAAGGGGTAACAGTTCGTAGCCCAATTTATGAATTTCTGCCATGGTGACTACACATGTGTGCACCTGTATATTGTGTTTATGGAAGAGCATTTTTTTTTTTTTTTCGAAAAATGTAGTTTCTGCTTCAAATCGGTATTGAAGTTATCCAAAAGCTCTGAATAATATTTGCCGGTGATCTTTTTTAACTGAATTTCTAGAGCAATTCGTCCGTCCTAGATTTAACATATCAACAAAACTAAGAATAGGTCAGGAGTTATTGTACAAAAAACGCATATTAAAATCAGTGGTGTGTCTAGGGCTGTGCTTGAGCCGCCCGTGCAAATACTACTTCTTTTATTTATATTTTTGTATTCATGTTGAACATTTACTAAATTAAATAGTTTATAAAATATGTATAATAATTATTGTCAAGTGCTAGTTTTAATTGTAAATTTTTTGTTAATCATTTACTTAAAAAAATATTTTTTTAATTATCATTAAATTTAATAAATACATTTCCAAATTAACGAGTATTTTTATCAGTGGCATGGTGAACCCATGAGGACAGGTGGCACACCATTTTTATGGCGCCAATCCAATATTATAAATACCTTTTTTACAAAAATATAAATAAAAGAGGTAGTTTTTGCAGGGGCGGCTCAAGCACAACCCTAGACACACCACTGATTTTTATATGCGTTTTCTGTACAATAACTCCTGACCTACTCTTAGTTTTGTTGATATGTTTAGTCCAGGACGGACAAATTGCTCTAGAAATTCAGTTAAAAAATTGTAAATAGCTCGTTAACTAAGAAAGATACAAAGTTCATTTCGCTATAAAAAATTTAAAAATTCATAGTTCTTTTTGATTTTAAGATCGATAAAGCAAGTTTCTTTATGTAAAAAAAAAAAATACAGGGGGGTTAAAAGGTACCCAACCCCCCAACTTTTTTTAAAGAGGTCGCTTTCAATTTTTTTTCTCCTTAGAATATTGGGCCTTCAAATCTACAGCACTTGCAAAAATTTCAAAGAAAAAATCGCAACAGCAAACTTTTTACAAAAAAAAAAAAAAAAAAAAAAAAACCGTTTTTCTGAATGTTAGTTTAACGCCCTGTAACTTTGTTAGGAGCCAGTTTTTGATATAGGTAAATATAGCCAAATTCCCTTATTTTTTGGTAAGCTATCTGAGGAAGAATTTATGACATACCTTTTTGAAACACCCTTTATATTGTGAATAAGCTGTTGAATATACAGGGTGATTCGTAACTATTGGGACATAGGCTAAGGGCAGGTTATTTGTACAAAAATATGATGACAGGGCCAAATATATCTTAATAAAATATTGCTGTGGAATAAGATACAGGGCGTTAAAGTTGAATTTTTTTTTTTCGTTTTTTTTTTTATAATGTCACTATATATTAATGAATTGTTATCAAAATCGGCACAGAGGCATATCTTTGGACAGGGGATAATATTTTATGTATAATTTCTCATTTTGTTACGGGGGGCGCCACTTGAATGATTACTAATGATGAAATTAAGTGGTAGCTTTTTTTGACAAAACTTTTTAGTATTTTTGATTGGAAAATATGATGTAAACGTCATTTCTACGTAATATTGGTACTCTTGTTTAAACACGATAATTTTACCCGTTTTCGAAAAAAAAAACGGAATTGAACAGCTCACAAGTCTCAAACGGGGAGTTAAAAAATATAATAAATATGAAAAGTGTGCTTTGAAGTATCAGATAATTGTGTTTGGTACATGTAATTTCTTGACAGTGAATTATTTTTGCTGCTTGATTATAGTCTATTATTATTACTATTATTATTATTATTATTTATCGCCCTGTATCTTATTCCACAACAATATTTTATTAAGGTATATTTGGCCCTATCGCCATATTTTGCTCCAAATAATTATTGTAAGTAAAAGATGTAAAATAGAAAATGTTACTTGAAATTACTTCAATTTCATAAATTTTGAAGCTGGATATTTTAAAACGCTTTACTTAGTAGTGTTCTACTTTACCGACTGTATCGAATCATAGTAAATCATAACGCGCTGCTGTCGAGGTCAAGCAACCAACTATTTACAGGCAAAACGGCTACCCCGGTGGGCACCACACATGTGCAGGCTTAGAGAACCGAGCAGTGAAAGTGTTTAAAAATCAATAATTAAAATAGAATTAACTTACCTCTGGTGTTTCTATCCTAGCTGATGCTTCAGTACTAAGATGGTTAACTATTTCAGTCCGATGGGGCGGCCTTGGTATGCCCTTCTCACCTGTACCCTCAAGCAAACCCTGTTTGAATTTTGCTTCCATATTCATTTCCCCTGCAGTAGGCAACGTCACCATCTTTGTTTGCAGTTTCTCAGCAAAATTCTTGTTAAAAATCTTATTATTCTTACTAGAATCTTTCTTGAACACATCTTTTATTTTGACCTGCAAAAAAAGTTCAGTAATTAAATTTAATAGTTTATCGGACCAATTTACAGTAGTAAGACAAGGCGACCCCCTCTCTACGAACCTATTTAATCTAGTATTTGAAATGGTAACAAAAGAAAGTAAAATACAAACATTTTTTACAATAAAGTGCAATGTATCGTGTAGGCGGATGACACAGTGCTATTAACAATATTAAAAGAGAACTGCAAAAAGTTTTTAGTAATTTTGTAGACAAAAAATTTGGTTTGCAAATAAATGAAAAGAAAACAAAATACATGGAAATGCGTCCAGATGAAACCAAACAATACAATTTCAAAAAAGTCAACTGGTTTGATTTCTTAGGAGAAACATCAACAAATCTAGAAGAAAATTAGATAATAAAAGAATTCTGAAAGGAAATAGAGCAGCGGGGTCATTGTTCAAAAATATTATGAGCAAAAACGTATCAAGAGCAGTCAAAATTAGAGATATGAAACAATTGTGATGTCAGTAGTTCTATATGCATTGGAAACATGATAATTAAAAATAAGAGTTAACTGGAAATATAAGATAGAAAAATATTTGGTGGTGTCTGAACACCAGAAGGTACCTGGAGAAGGCATACAAAAAAAGAGGCAATGTGCATATTGAAGAAACCAAAAATAACACAAACAGTTTGAGTACAAAGAGCAAAACGGTTAAAGCACATTGCTCTAATGTCAGAGTATAAGGTTATAAAAATGGTACTGGATTGAGATGAAGCTGGGAATAGAAGAGGATGCCCAAAGAAAAAATGGTTACAAGAGGTCAAATGGGATATATATGAGATACAAATTATCGATTGGAAAGAAGTAGCATAGGGCCAGAAAAAATTGTACCAAATAATAAAGAAAAATAGAAGCCAAGGGTCCAGGGATTGCAACTCATATGGGAAACATTAAGGCAAATAATTTTTCTTACCTTGTCTTTCCTAATTTTTTGAGGCAGTCCAGCAATCGTACCGACGTTTGTCGATCCCAAAACAGGTTGGTCATCTTCGGGTAGCTCAGACTGGCTCAACCTCCGCTTCTTATCGTCAGATATGGCATTCTCATCGAGAAATTTCTTCGTTTTCACTAAATCTGAATCGCTACCACGCCGCTCCTTCTGTTTGTCTTTGTAGTGGTTGTGTATCACAAATTTTGACTTCAGATCACTTTCTTGAGTCAGACTAGCAATTACATCCTAAAAGAAATTCAATAGAGATATAAAATGCATGATTTAAAAGAATTTTGTTTTTTTTTCTAACCTTATGTTCATGGTTAGCTTTTAACTTTTTAAACTTCTTCTGATCGATTGGAGCAAGTCTACTTAACATTGAAGAATTAGAAGCGTCCATCATTAACGAGTTGACATTTCCGCTTTCTTCCAGAGTTCCAACAATGTTACCTACTTCATTCTTTTTCATCTTCTGATGATCTTGGTTTTTCCTAACCTATAAATATTTATTTTGTTTAAATGTATCTAAAAACGGAATATTTTGCTTTATCATATTCTTATATTTATCGATTCTATACCTATTCACACTATATTTGGCCTTTTTTAAAGATTTGTATAGGTGAAGATAAAATATATTCTCAACTTCTTAAATAAATAAATCAATAAATAACCATACACAAAATTAGGTAAATATTCAAACTTCAAAAGAAAGTAAAGGATATTTCACACCAATAATGGATTTTCAAAACAGAGAGTCTAATACGATATTGGAGCAGTCAAATTAAGCATTTCTTTTTCATTATGGTCAAATAAAATCTAAATGAGTCATAACACCTATTTATACAGTCTTCAAACAATATCCGTATCCCACGTGACTAAATTGATGCCATCAATTGGTTAAAAGTAATATTATTAACTTTAGTAGTAACCCCAAAACAAGCACATGGAAAAGCCTTCATAGGCAGACCATGTCCCAAAAGAACTGGAGAACTACTCTTAATGAATAGGAACCAGTTGAAAGTGAAAACAGGGTTCATGACTGAGCACGCCCCAGTAAAGGGACACTTGAACAAAATTGGCATGTACAATGGGGAAATCATGTGCCGAATATGAGATAAGAAACCAGAAACGGCCAAACACATACTGTGCGAATGCGAAGCTCTAGATCGCAAAAGACAGGCTCTTTTTGGACAACCCCAGGTTGATCCAACAATGTATAGAACCCACTCACCCAAGGATCTGTACAAACTTGTACAAGGTACAAAGGTGATAGAGTGGGTGCTATGAACTAACATAGGGTAAAACACAATAAGCCAATAGGCTTCAGTGTTATTCGGAGACACATAGTCAGACGAGCCCAGGGAAAAAAAATTTTAATTATTGTTTTATATATTTTCATTTTTGTATAATATTTTAAGTATAAAATCTATATAATTTTAAACATGTGAGAACTGGTTAATATGAACGTTTTGTGTGAAAGCTGACAATAGGAAAGTTTGACTAGTCTGATAAGTTTTCTTAAGCATGTAAAATGTAAAAGAAAAAACAATAAATAGCAAATTTAAAGTTCAAGAAACTCTGTAAATGATAATAAAAACCCATTAAAGGGGTGATATATCTTTTACTGCCAATCATAGTATAATAATGCACCAAAAAGGAAATCTTAACTAATCTTAAAAATCTTACCTTCAGTTTCACTGGGGTACCATCTGGGTTAAGCTTGTTTTTGTTCTTGATAACAGCCGAATTCCTCCCTCTAAGTGAAATGTGAAGAGGTGGCACTCGTAGTTCCTCTCCAGCTGTTATTAACGAAGAAGTTCCCTTTTTCGGTTGCTGGTTGATAAAACTGACATCGACCTTATAAGCGGGATTGATCGGTTCAGACTTCTCCAGTTTTAACCTGAGCTTGATTTTTTCGGGTTTTAGTGCGGGAGAATCCCTGCCCCGATCCCTCGTTTTCGAGTTTTTTAACCTTTGAGGCTTGTTGGTATCACTGGAACGCGTTTCGCTATCGCTCTGATCGGTAGTCGTGTCGGGACGAGTTGTAGAACAAGTGTCTTCGTCTGAGAGGTTCGCTGGTGATAGTAAACCTGTGAAGACGTCTTTTAGTTCTTCGGTGTCGCTCTCCCCGCTAGACTGCGGTTCCAGTTCACCCGTCAGAGGATTGATGAGAAATTTCCGGTTATCATTTACCATTAAGTCATCTGTAGTCGATATTATACTCGAATGATCCGCTAAGAAATCTTCTGGCAAATCAGGCAAAGGACTTTGAGTTAACTCGTTCTCCAGTGAAGGTAATAAAGCATCCAAGTCATCTGGTTTCAAATCCGTTAAAGTAGGAGTTAAATCCATAAGAGAACTGCTGTTATTAACCAAAGAATCCCACGGTCTTGATATAGCCACTGAGTAAGGTGGTGGTGAAGGCATACTTCTTAAAGCTACATTATTGAAGTTGTGACCCGAACTGGGCATGTCTAGGCTAGACATTGAAGGCGTCGCTACAGTTTGAGGCATAATGGGTGTTGTAGACTGGGGATAATTACTTTTTATTTGCTGAGGTAAGTAAATGTTGGGATTTTTTGGCAAAGATTGGGCACCAAGTAATTTTGGATGAGTATTGTTTAACATATTAGGAATAGCCGTTCTCTGTTGAACCGTTTTCATTAAAGGTGCTGTGGGACCCTTGGCAAAAATAGTAGGTGAGGTAACAGGTTGTTGAGATATTAAATGTTTGGGTGTTGCAACACTTGGCTGGCCTATGGGAGTTTTGAGCTGGGTGGAGGTGTTCACTAGCTGTTGCTGATAAATGTTATTTTGTTGTAGAGGCACAGCTGTAGATTGTGTGGCACGGGACATTATCGTGTTTTGAGAGAACGAACTATTTGGTACAGCTGAAGATATGGTGTTCATGTTATGATGACTAACACCAGGAGCCTGCTTAACCTGAAAAAAAAAGAAAAGTTTCAATGCGTTGTGAAAGATTGAAGAATAATAATAAATCATATTTCCTGTAATATTTTACATAATAAAAAATTCGTTTCTAATTTTAACTTCAGGAACCTATAATTCTTTTTAGATGAACTTTTGTATAAAGATAAATTGGCTTAAATAAACTTATTTTCATCCCTAGAAACTGTGGAATAATTTATGATACATATTTAATTATCATTATAAGATTTATATAACAGCTTTTTAAAACAAAAACTTAAATTTTATTACATTTACTTGACATTATTGGCGACTCGGGCAAAAATTACATTTGTTGCACTCTTTTTATGGTTAGAATAATAAATTAAATTAAATATAATTTATTTTTTATTAATATTTAAAAAAAAAAATCAGGTTATGTTTTATGTTATTAATTTAATAAATAAAATTCCATAATATCAAATTATTATATTTTATTATTAATATTTTGTTAAGTACAATTTGAAAATTCTTGTAATGGTATAAAACATTAATTTTAGAATTTTAGTTTTCTTATTACCCTTAAGTAAAATGTATAGCGTTGCCGGTCGCATATTCATATGTTACCGACACAAAGAGACAATTGGATTTCCGATCGATGCCGAAGACGTAATAATAAGTTGCCGACGTATTTCTTAGTTTATATCTGTAACTTAACGATTGATAACGACTGCGAGTAGTGGTGTTATTAAAAGTATGAAAATTTGTTTATTTCTTTACAATAATGAATATAGTAACTTTATGTATATGGACCATATTTCGTGGATATCCCGAAAATTATTTATCAAGAAATTCTCAAAACAAAATGACTTTGCGTTACCTAGGTATATTTTTTTACATCAAAGAATGAGCATGTCAAACATAAAAATAACTATTTTAGGTGACTGGAAGTAGAAGACTTACCAGCGGAATTTCCAGAAAGCAGAAAAAAGCGCTTCACAATTTAAAGGACTGTGTCGAAAAATGTAGGATTAGGTGATAACAAAAGGAAAAAGTAGAGAGTTTGTCTATGTTATATATTTTATTATTTATTTAGAGTTTATTTCTCTAAATATATATTTTCTTTAGACTGTAATAATTAACCATTTCCATAGGCTCAAAAAATAAATGTTAAATCTTATCTTCCAACTTATACAACTTATACATTATCTATCTTTACTAATATATCAAGAGTTGTTTTCAATACCTATTGCAAATGTACCACTTGTTGCTTGTATAAGTTACCGACGGAATTCTAAAGTTACGTCTGTAACTTATATAAAATCAATCGGCTTTCCGGAGCGGTTGGTTGTGTCGGTAACATATGAATATGCTTGCCGGTCACGTCAACTAAACACCAATGACCAAACGGAGACCAACCAATTGAGCACTTTAGATTAGCCAATTGCACACATTATTAATAGTTTGTTCATTGAGAAAAAAAAAACAACTAATTTACCAAACATGTGCGGTCTAGAGCAATCGCGGCTTGCTTCACAAATTATACATAAAATGAGAAAAATAAAAAAAAAACCCTAGAGTCAAATTAACTTTATTTTGGTACAGGGGGGAAAAATAGTGTCCAGCATTCTCTTGGATTTCTTAAATTCAATCTTGAGCTTATTTTTGCAGTATATAAGTGATTTTATTAATGTTTTTTTATTTATATTTTTCAAATATATTGATACAAATTTGGAAAATGGTGAGTTTGTGTTTCCGAAACATATGTAGTGCCTGTACTTAAATTTTATAAAAACAATAAAACCGATCGGATAAACCAGTGAACTTTCTATTTACGTAATATTATGGTTTTTGCGTCCATCGAAACAGACCTATTATTTTTGTAAATTAGTTATTTAGCTTGATTTTTACTTGTATCATATTGTTTAGTAATCTATTGGACATTGCTTAAGAACAATATTTTTATATTCAGTTATTATACTAGTAGAATAATTTCTCGTATTGTAATTCTCATACAGGTGTGTTAATAGCTACCATAAATACTCGTACAATATACCTACTATTTATTTACATTTTAGATTTTTAAATATAAAGGCTTGATTTTTAAGAACATTTCGTTGCGAAAATCGCCGACGAAGTTCGTCGATTAATGCGTTCGCAAAGTCCGTCGCATTTTGTAATCGGTTTTTTAAAATGTATTTTAAAATCTGTTATACGTCTAATTTTAACGAAATGCGCCGGCGTTGTTCCTTGTCATCAAATACTTTAGTTTCAACGAAATTCTGGTGTAATTTCTCCTCATTTCTTGTCTGTAAATTTGTGAAGTGAGTTAAGGCTTGGTTTTTAAGAACATTCCATCGCGAACTTTGCCGACGTAGTTCGTCGACGGAAGGCGTTCGCGAAGTTCGCCGTATTTAAAAATGTACTATCCAAACCGTCCGTTTTCTAAAACCTGTTAGGCGTTTATTTTTAACGGAATGCGCCGGCGTTGTCCGTTGGAATCAAAACATATTTGGTTTCAGCGCAATTCCGCTGTCAGTTCTTATTTTAAATTCGTGAGGTGTGGACATTATAGTTATAAAATATGTCCAATAAAAGTTATTAACTGCTCCAATTTTCCAACGACGATGAGCAGAAATTGATAGATCTTAGAACTTAGATCAAACAAAACTGGCGTCAATCGAAAATATTCTCTAAATTTTTCTTCATTTTTAAATAAATGTCGCATAATTAGTACTTTATAGGCTCCTTCTAATTTTCATCTTTTAAAAATGTTATCCGATTTTTCATTTTTTAATAGCTTCAGCAGCAAGTTGTCTTCTTCATCAGAAAATTCTTCCTCTAATAAAAGCTGTAGAAAACGCTCCATAGCCACAGCACAGAATTTAAACTACTGATTTGCGTACTGAAATTGATAATTTCCGTCTAATTAAACGGTCAATCTGTCTTCTTAAAAAAACACGGTGTCCTACGAACTTTGTGAACGGAATTCGCTAACGCATTCCGTCGACAAACTTCGTCGGCAAATTTCGCGACGGAAGGTTCTTAAAAACCAAGGCTTTAAACGCATTTCGTTGACCAATTTTGTCAGCGATCTTCACTACGGAATTTTCTTAAAAATCAAGGCCATTTAATTTGACGAAAATTATGAATTTCAATAAACAAATCTTATACGATCTGTGCTGGGCTATGGAGGATTTTCTGAAGTATTTATTATTAGAGGAAGAGTTTGCAGATGAAAAAGACGAGTTGCTACTAAAGCTATTGAAAAATGAACCAAATATTAAAAAAAAAAAAAAAAACAGAAGGAACAGATCTATTAACACGTTAGTGGACACATTTCCTTGGAGGGACGCAAACTGCTTGCGCAATTCATTTTGATATTTGATTAGGAGGTATGCACTGCAAGAGCAGTTGTTCTCTGTATCCAAATGTATAGTTATGATTTGTGGGTACAATATTTTCATTTTTGGCGCGATTTTCGGGCCATGTTGCAGACGTGTTTTACTATGCACGGTCGAAGATTTTACACTTCAGTAGCAGATATGCTGTTCATATGTAAGTGTGAATTGTTTGTTACAATTATATTCTCGAAATAAGATGGATGGAAAAGATAAAGAAAGACTTTTACAGTGGTACAACGAATTGGATAGTGACAAAGAGAATAAAACCAAATCGAGTGGTGAGTAGAATGATTTGACATAACTATGTTAATTTTAGTAGGTGATGGAAGTGAAATTTCTAATTTGCCTCTTGACCCGTTTCATGATAGAGACAATATGACAGACGACCATACATACAACCAACAGGATGATTCAAGTTCCAACTCTGAATTTGGAAATGATGATGATTATGAAAATATAGGAATTGTAATCCTGAATAGATATATGTATTTATTATAGCTGGGTACTACAAGCGACCTTTGATTTTGTTTACTAGGAAGAGGTGGCGAAACCATTTTTACTACTTGAATTCATATTCTTTTTGTAACTAACATTATTGTATATTAGTAAATTTGTTGCCTTGGTTAATTTTATTAGAGACTGGAGACTATGGGTCGTATGATTGAACGTTTACGTTATCCGTAACGTACATGTTAGGCCCAGTTTTAACAGTAACAAGGCAAGTTCGTACGATGGAAAACTTTTTCCAACACATTACTGTTATTTTCCACCTATTATGTTCAAATTTAACAGGTTTCCATCATACGAACTTGCCTCGTTACTTTTAAAATTCGGCCTAACATGTACGTTACGGATAACGTAAACGTTCAATCATAGGACCCAATGTACATTGTGTGATGGAAAATAAAGTATTATATTTGCAAACAATACAGTTGCCTAGTTAGTACGGAAAAACTAGATATATTTCATTTTGGAATAATAATTGGTAATTAGGAAGAATAAAACTTGAAATAGGTACACTTGACATTTTAAATTTTTAATGTAATCGACCACAATGTGTCAAATCATAGAAAAAATATCAGTAGATGTTTTATGTGTACTGTCAAATAACCAATTAGAAGCTAGGTTTAGGAGCAAACAATTCAAATCGCTCCTTTTAGTTTAAAATGCATTTTTTTTTTAAATAAAATTATTTTTTTCATCTGGAATTATGTGCCCATCAATGCAACTATGTAAAATTACATGCAGATGTCATTAACCATTATATTTATAGCTGCAATTTTAAAATTGTGTAAGAAAAAAAATTGTCCATAACATACACTATATAAAATAGACGAAGAGCTAAAAAATAATATTAATAAATAATCTATCTTGAATATATCAAATGGCGTCAACTTCATAATAAAAACCACCCCATTTGATATGCATTTCAGTCAAAAAATTTAGTAAATAATATTTTAAATTCTAAATTTGGTAACTAAATTAATAACCTAAAGTCCAGAATGTGCAAAAATGGCCAAAATGAAATTTTTACAGTGCATTTTAGTGTCTCGTTACTAAGTAAAAACGCCGTATATTCCATGAAAAATGGAAATATTCGTTTATTTTGTTTGCCGTATGTACAAAGTTTACTGTGAATACTAGATAAAAATGCAGTATCGGCCATGTATTAAACTAAAAAGTGCATATATTTATTAAGCAAGCACCTTTGCTGCTCTTTTAGGACAACAGATGGAAACTGTTGAAGAAGCAAAAGATGTATGATTTTAAAGATTTCTTAGACTCTGTTCAAAGTGCCAATAAGTCAAAAGTGGAAGCAAAAGATGAAGCAAACCGATTTTTTTCTTTGGAAAAACAAGTCGGAAATAGTTCATTCTTGTCCTCCTTTTTTGTACACAGGCTGAATCACATTTGTGGCATTTAGCCATCTTAACACAAAAGTACTTAGTGGAAAGTGGCCAATGAAAAAATTTACAGTTGGCAACGCTACCGACAATTTACACTTCAGTTGTGAGTTCACGTTCAGTTGTCTACACTTGCAGAGGCACTTTTTAGCACAAATTCCAAGTCTCAAATCAAAATCTGCGATGTTGCCACTTTTATATATACATATGATTATATAACACTAGATTTTCTGTGCAAAGGGTATGAGAAAAAATATGGAATGCCTGCACCATCTTCTTTATCAGCACCATGTGGTGTGCCATTAGAAAAACGCAAAAATATATAAAAAATTGATTTCAACAAAAAAAAAATTACTCTCCTATAGTCAAGAAATTAATAAAAATGTTAATAATTAGTATTTTATTTAGGAAATATTTTTTATTCTTTGTTTTTGTTAAAAATTATATTTTACGGGATCTGTGAATGCATTTTCAAGGTCATATTTTGAAATAATATTTTACTAAGCATATATGCAGTAAGTGAAGGTAGCAGTATGTTGCACATTGTAGCATTTTTACTAAGTAATGGAATTATCATGTTTGCCATATATGAATTTATTAGGTGAAACAATTGTTATATGTTAAAATTGACTATTGTAAAGTATTCAGAATAATAAATTTGCTAATGAAACACGTATTTTATTACCTAATTAAGCACAAGTATTTTTTGGCAATCAATAAACTTAAAAAAGGGTCGATATCTCAAAATGACGATTTTGTACATACAGCACTTTCGTTTAGGAGGGCAGTTTTAGTGACTAGGGGGTATTTCCACAGTTGATGACATTGCTGCAAGAAGGGGGCAGATCCATTTCTGTTTATTTTTGGGTAATAAGAAAAACGTTTTATAAAAATTGCATCAAAAGGTGACATCTTTACATGTAACTGGCAGCTTTTTTGTAGTATATCCTTGTTTGAAGGACACTACCCCCTTTTGGACCAAAGTTAAAAAATAAGGTATACTTTATTATTATTATACCTTATTATATATAAAAAAATTTGATTATTAAAAAAATTGTGTAATAAAATTTGAAAAATAAACAAAAAACATTATTTTTATGCAAGAAACAGTTATGGTGGTAAATCCAAATTAGTTAATATTGTTGCCATTTATAATCACAGCTGCCATTTTCATACATCAATTATTAGGCTTATTTTTTTATAGAGAACACACAAAATAACTAAAATTTTAGCAAATATGGAGCTGTCTCCTTCTCAAAGTCCTCAATTACACAATTTTACATATATCATTACTGTACACAGTTTTGGAAAAATATATAACAAAAACAGATATTGAAAAAACAAAACTTACCATTCCACTATTAGAAAGTGCCCTGTGATATTGCGGTGGAGGTGGTGGCGGTGGTGTTTTATTCACCATACCAGTTGTACTTGTCATTACGGTGCTATTCTGCCTAATGGAAGTATTAGTTGTTAAGGCGCTTGGTGATATCGAAGAGCTAATAGCCTGAGTCGAGGAGATGGGTTTCGACGCCGCCGACATTAATGATGATGATGACGACGAATTCACTGTCGAGGTTGAAACGTCGGGCGAGGAAGAGGCCAGCGTTCGGACGGGAGGCGTCGTTTTTGGGATACCTGAACCTGAATCCTTACCTCCGTCGTTTTGCAAGAGGTTAACAAGTAGGGGACTGGATATCGTAACAGGGGGGTGCTTCGCGGGATACGGGGGAGGTAAGGAGTTGAAAGGTGTCTCACGGTTGCTGTGGATGGCCTGTTGGAAAAAGATTAAACGTTTAGTTTAGATATTTAAAATAAATATGTTTTAATCAATAAAAAAATGTAAAAAAACGTATAAAATTATCCTATTTAATACCCAACAAATTATTATGTACAACTTGTGAATAAGATGTGCACTCTGTGGCAGTTGAAACATTTATATTTCTATGCTAGGAAAAACGACAGTGAACTAGGTTTAATAAACAATACTTATGTGTTGGATAGGATGGTATATTTGTATATATTTTGTATTAATTAAATATTAAATTGTATTCAATGTAATTTGGCTTGAAGCATGTTTGGGATAAATAAATAAATCAAAAATGACATACATACAGTCATTTTATACTTATTATAGTTCTGATTCGATCTTATCGATGATATTGGATGGAATAGATATGCTTTATTTAGTTTACCATAAGTTTGTCTGCAATACAATCATAACAAGAAGAACCTCAGATCCCTTCCCTCAAAAATGTATCAAATTTTGTTTAAAACTTTTAATAAACAAATAACTGCAGTAATATGAGTTTTTTATTCATTAAAATCACTTAAGAGTTTTACAATAAATTTAAATACTCTGTGTATATTGAAAATTGTTAGTGTGTTGTGCCCTTCTCCTATCCTCATCTGATTTAGAAAGCAGACAAAGCATGGTATTGACAGTATGAAGGATGTTAGCTAGCATAATGTGTATGTTTTGATCCAAAGTATGGTAACTATAAGGTGTTGTTTTCACTCTCCACCAAAAATATGGCTCAACTGATCAAAGTACTAGTAAAAATCCACTGGGTCCACTAGTGTATTTGAGGTGAAAAATGGCAGGTCATGTTTAACCTGTCAGAAATGCAATCATGCAAATTACAGTTTATTTTAGCTTTTATCAGAGACATCATGAGAAAGTTAAATCAATGAGAAAAATATGTCCGAAGATAAAGATGCTTCCTGTCTCTACACCACAAAAGGTAAAAGCAGGTGGTGCTATACGTTATTTAGCGAGACCCGTGGGAAATATAAAATATCATATTTGTACATTATACAGTGAAAAATGCTAGAATACATCAATTAAATTTTTTTTTATAAAAAAGTCAACCCAGATTTCAAACTTTCTGTAGTATTGAATATTTTAAATAGCAATAATAATTTTTACTCATTTTCTTGGAGTATATAGACATTTAAATATTTCAAATATTCGCCCTTTTGGTCTAAATACATTTCAATAATATTTTCGGAATATTAACTAGTTTAAAGTAGCGAATATGTGAAATATTTAAATCCCATTATATCACTTAAAAAGAAATATGGGATGACACTTTTAAAACAAAAATGTGATTAATTAAAAATAAAAATTGACGTGTCCGAGCATTTTTAATAAATTTCTCAAATAACACCAAAAATATTTTTGTTCCATAAGAGGTCTCCACACAAATTCTCTTGTGATTTTAGTTTAAAGATTCTGGACTCAAGGATTACTGGTATTTATATACTTTACACTCGCTCATTGCATTTTAGGAAGCAAGCCATCCATAATACTGTAACAAAACAATTTTATTGTTAATGAGAAATAAACGAAAAAATTATCCTTCTTCCATGACAGTCATGAAGCTAGAACAATGTTGCCAAGTTACTTTCAATTAGATAAATACAAAGAATATGAAAATGTGAAGCATTCCAAACAAAATATCGATTGTGGTAATGCCTTTAGAAAATAGAGTGTTCACCTTTCATGATGCATGACAAAGAGCGATTTATAAGAAACAAGTGAAACAGAAGGAAATCCCATGATATATGAATAATGGGAATAATTTTAAAGCATAGATATTTGTCTTGTAAGTTGTCTCTGCTTTTATCAAGTGAAAAATACAACAAATTTTCAATACATATTTTTTATTATCCTTACCACTTGAAAATACCAACAAAACATCTTAATTCGGAGGTTTATTTTAATTTAATGTAAAAAAATCTAATGGGACCATTTTTCTTTTCATATTAGTAGCAAGCACAGTTTTGTTCTTTATCTTGGTCCTCATCATCACTAGGATTAACACCTTGGAGTGGAAATGTATTTTATCTTGAATATAAATAAATACTCTAGTTAAATAAAAATCTTTGAATTTTTCTTGACAACCATTTCATTTTAACTAGCAGTAACTTAATTGGAATTTGGAGTATATTCATTAGATCTTTATTTGTGCATATAGCACTGTGTTTAGTCGTTTTGGTAAAGAAGAATCACTTAAAATATAACAACTTAATATTTGAAAAGAACACAATTTATCTTATCTTTTTATATTTCAGACCTAATGATGACACAAGATGGTCAAAACTAGTTGCATGTATTGCGATAAAATATATGTAGTCTCTGAATTGACCACATTTGACTTGAACAATAAACTTAATTTGTTGATCATTTCATTTTTCATCTTTAATTTTGATTGTGATTCGTTTACACTGCTTTTGTTTTTTTGTTGTCTTTTTTTATAAAACTAATAAATTAGTATTATTGTTCAAAATTATTGTGTTTTTCACTTGATAAAAATTTAAATAAACTCATTCGAAAGATTGCACTTCAAACTTCTGATAGGAAAAAATTAGCACCCAATTTTTTGCCACACAATGTTACAGTGTTGCCACGGCCACCAAAAAATGCAATAATTCATACTAAATGGAAAATGCTATAATTTTTGAAGCATAAATTTATGAAAGTTCATAAATTGGGCAAAATCCTTAACGTTGGCAACCCTATTGCCATAAATACAGAAGTGAACCTAGTGGATTTTACTTGTAACACTGATAAATTTTGGGCATTTTTTAAGACAGTTCATTTACCTTATAATCTACAGTGGTTTTGATCCAGAGGGACAATATATGGTGGGCAATAAAGGTTACATTAGTTAAAAAATTAAGTACTTAATACAAACTATTAAATTATAAAATTACTAGTATAGCTCTTATAGTGCCAGGATATATAAGTTATTTCAATTACAGCAAAATATGAGAGAAATATCTTGACACAGTGGTCAAACAAACCAAGCTAATATTATTTACTATTTGATGTTGAGCTTTATGTAATTGCAAAACAATTCAGGATGGACTTGAAACAAATCTAGATTTAAATTAACTACAAAATACAGTCTTTGGAAATAACTCACCTGATTCATGCTGGTAAAAGGAAATGGTCCAGCGAACGGCTTGTTACTGCCAGCAACGTTGTTGGGGGGTACCGTATTGGCGCCAACCTTCGGCACCACTGTATCAGGGGGACACACCACATTAGGTGATTTGAATTGCACTTGCACATTGTTACTGCTAGCCGGCACAGATGTCGCATTTGTCTGCAGGAAAGTACTGATATCTGCTTGGCCAGTGGTACTACTACTGCTACTGCCATCTGAAAAGAAAGTAAATGTAAGTGAAAGAGAAAAAAAAAATAAAAAGACAATTTAAAAAAAAAATTAATACACTTGTAGTGTTCTTAATGTTCAGTTAATTTGATGAATGGTGCCCATAAAGTTCTTGTTGCAAAGAGGATTTGGAATGTTTATAAATTATGTGAGGTTGTGGAATAAAATACATGAATAATTTTTTCAAGAAACTCATGCTCTCTAATTTTTTTTAATTACCTATGCAAGAATAGTTTTATAACCTTATAAAAATCGTTTTAAAAGTATTTTTTTAATCGCCCTTAAATTATTTAAAACAAGAAGTACTGTATTGTATTTTTTAAAGTTCCCTGGAATTTTTTATTATAAATATTTTTCTTTATTTCTTAAACAAGACTTAAATGTTGCCACTTCTATCAAAAAAATTCATAAAAATAGTAATATTTATTTGTTCCTTTTAATTTTGGGTTTATTTTATAGTACCAAAATAAAATATTTAATATTTTGAATATTGTGAAGTTGTAGTTGATTTTCCTAAACTCATGAAAGTATATACACTTTTTAACCAGCATTATAGATTGTTTTATTAAAGGAATTAAGTAATGAATGCAAAAATAAGGTTATGAAAAAATATCTGTATCAATTTAAACACATTTTAAATACTGTAAACTAAAGAAAACTGAAATTTTCCAAATTAACCTAAACTTTTATAAATATAAGTAAGCTTATGAATTACCAGAAACTATGAATAATTGTTTATTTTTATTACAATAACACTGATTAAATAAGAAAAATAAATATTTCATAATTCTGTGTTGTCTATTTTTTCATTCACAAAATCATTTGTATATTTAGGAGTAAGTAAAATCTGAGGTAAAATCAAATCTTTTGTTTTTTAGCAGACGATTTTTTAAAAGAAAAAAAATCATATTGTGTATAATTATTTTACATAACCTTTTAGAATTTAATTCATAAACAATTCAATAAAGAAAAAAATAATTTAAAATATGGGATAATTAAATGAAAAAATATATATATATATATATATATATAGTTAGGTCTAAGTAAGGATTACTTTAACCACTGCTTTATTTTTAGAAAACACCAAACTGAGAAAATTGAGTAAGGAATTTTTAATCTATACCTATATTTGATGTGAATTTGTCATATTCTTTGGAATATTTTTATTATTGACTATTTAGACTAATAAATATTTCAAAAGCTGGGCTTATCCAAGGGCTTATCATTTCTTAGAATTAGTAGGGAATGTCTAATGATTAGGGTGCAGTGTCTAGAGCAAATACTTATAGCAATATATTATAATATAAAGATTAACACAGAACTTTTACAATAATTACAATCTCATATCATATTTTATTGAAATCATTTTATTTCTTTATTAAAATATCTACCAGTAGTGAGATAGGAAGTATGCTCTATTACTGTCTTTATCAATAGCATTGGTTTTCTATACTCAGAATTGAAAAGTTAACATATTGTATATGGGTTATAATAGATAATATTAAAAGTAGGTATATCTAAGAGAACATGAGTGACAGATATAGCTATAAACTCTAGTAAAAATTAAAATTAAATAAGAGTTTCTATTTTAAGTTATAATTATCACAATAGTTTAGTTGTAGCTGCTGTAAAAAATTAAGTTTACAATCACAATGTGTACTTACAAACTTAAATCCAAAAATATTAACATATTTTAAATTTGTTAGTAATGTCCTTTAATATCACTAGTTGAAATTGATATTTATTTTTAAAATAAAAAATCTGTAATGTATTAAATGAGATACTAACTAAGCTCCCATAGAAATCAGCAGCATAATTACAGAGCTACTCCTAGATAATTACAGGATATCCAATGTCTAGATAGTATGTGGAAAACTTGTCAATTACTGATATTTAAATATTTAATTTGAATTTTAAATATAATAAATTTACCAGCAGCTATATTAGAAATAAAGAATATTGCAGGCAAAATCAAATTGTAAATGATTAATGATATGGTAAACATTTTAATTAATTTACTTGCAGAACAATTTTAATAGTTGGGCCCCTATTCGAGCATCAAAATTACATTTATATGTATATAATACCTATATTACTTATAAATCATAAGGATATTTAATGTTTTCGATTATTTTTAAAATAAAGATGAACTGGGAAGATTACTTACTTACCCATTAAATATCATTTTGAAATACAAAAGAGAAATAGGTTTTGCAATATTTATAAATGTATTTTTATTAGTTAAATGTTTCAAGTAACTCAAACAAAGTAAAAAGACAAAAAAAATAAATCTTTAATAGTCTTGCTAAAACAATTGATTTTAAGTTTTGTGTTGATAAGATTGATTTTATAATAGTGAATCTGATGTTGCACACAATTTGATAAACAAGAAGGTAAGTATAACAAAACTACCTAATAGAAATTTACCAAAAAATAAAACTCAAATTATCATAAAAATTTAATCATGATGGAATTAATGCAGCACTCGATGCAGCTAAACATTCAGTTGTAAGACTTTAAGAAAATCAGAACATTTCTAATAGGTATAGGGTTAAAAATAAGATAACTGGGAAAACTTTTTTTTATTTTTATACCTGATTTTATATATTTTTGTTTCTGGATAGAAATCATTAATTTTTGTAAATAAAATAAAAAAAAATAATTTATTGTCCAAACAGGAGTACACCCAATTACAGGACAGCTTAAATACTAATAAGGCTGAAACAAGTATATAATAATAAAAATAAACATAATTAAGAATAAGCATATTATCCAAATTTAACAAAAATAGATGAAAATAGACAACTATGAACTATGTAATGAAATAAAGAAAGATAAAGAAACCAGCTAATTTATGCCAATATTTTGATGTTATTCTTGAACTGACTTTATGAACATGAGAATGGGTAAATCCCTTTGGTATTTTCATTAAAATTGATGCACATTCTATTTAAGGGAGAGTTCATCATGATGTTCGTTCTGGGAGTAGAGAGGTAAAACATCTGCTCATTTCTCCTATTTAGTCGTGGTATGTTTAAATTAATTTGTTCTAGGATCTCTAACCAATCAATTAAATTAATTATTAATTTATATATAAAGATACATGGAATGCATGCCTGCGATTTTCAAGAGATGAGAAGTTGAACTGATTTCAAAATAAAGGAAAAACCAGACAGGTATAACTATTTTGAGTGATTTGTCAATAAGAGAGTTTAAATGCATAAAAGAGAATAATAAAATATTGTTCTTGTACAAATTGAATATTATCTAAGTACTGTCTGATAATAAATTAATATTGCTTATTAATAAGTAAGTACTTAAATACTAAAGTATTTTGAAAATGGAGTCAAATTTTAAAAATATTACTATCTAAATAGAATACATTTCTTTTTAAAATTATTTATTTTGTACATCAAGCAAATGAGAAAAATAGATGTGAACTGTATCAGATTTAAGTTGCCAAAAATTCGATGAGGTATTAACAATAATTTTACTGTAAAACATGAGCTCATTAAAATAAAAGCAATTTTATTTAATTAAAATAGGTATTCTTTAAGACAACAATAGAAGCTTCCAATTATTAAGCTTCATACTCACTTGCACGAAATTCGCAAATTTAAAAATATTCATAGTGAGATATTCTAACTTTTCTGTGATTTTACAGTGTCATCTGTCATCAATCATAATTGACTCTATCTCAGGAAATAAGAAATAATAATCTAGGTTTTTTATTATTTGTTCATTATTTTGTTTGTGCATTTTTTATAAAAAGAAAATATACCTAGTCATGGATGCTCCTCATAACAATTATTTATGAAGATATTATAATTTCATATTTTGTATATTTATATCATTAATAAAAACCATATAATACCAGCCAAGAGGCGACTGAGTAGGTAGAACATTTTTTGCAAAAAAAGCCCAATATCACTATAAATCTACAAAACACCAAAAATTATTATTTATTGAAACTTTTTAAAATATCCTTGTGAATTTCGGGTTTATGAGTATGGAAAAATACATGTGTGTGAATACAAATTGTCTGTCAAAAATCAATGAAATACGCTCAAGTGAGTATGAAGCTTTATTTTGTACCAATTATTATTTAATTATGGAAACAATACTTATTTGTTTTAAAATGTATAATGGTTGGCAGAAATAAATCAATTTTTTTTATTGAGGTTAGAATGACTACTGAAGTGACATCCATTATGAAAATAAATCTATTTTCAATTTTGTTTTTACCCCTTAACATAAAAAATAACATTATTAACTTTATATTAGAACTTGACAGCATTGCTTCAAATATTTACTAAATTAAAATACAATGAGGAAAATTAATAAAGAATTGAAAACACTTTAAACAGTAATTCAATAGGCACAGGTAGTGTATCAAAAATTCCAAACTATTTTCAGAAATTATATTTTTGTATGGCTAGATTTCTAGCCATTATGAATAAAAATTTCCAAATAATTGGAAAGTATGTGAGCAATTATTGGTACTTATTGCTGGCCAATGATTCTCATTTGACTATTTTATGCAATTACAGAACTTAAAGACTCAAAATAGTATCTTATTTATTTTTCATATTTGCTATTAAAAATATATTTAGCTAGGTACAACTGTAATTTAGTATTTAATAATAGTCTCAGTCTTAGATATATAATTACTATCTTGGAGTTTGTGAATTTAAAAATTAAAAAAATATATGGAAGGTGTACCACATTTTTCTTAAGATTTTAAAACAAATCTGTAAAATTAAAATACTTTATGAATATTAATAAAAAAATAAATGCCAACAAGTAAAGGTAAGAAGGAAATAGATTAAGGATAATAAATACCAATTACATATTAAACCAATGAAAAGCATCCTTGGTTGAGTAACTTTTTTCTAAAAGACTTACCTTGGGAGGTTCTCAGAATAATTTCTTGTGGTTCTGATCCAGTGGCTATTCGCAAAGAAATAACTTGATCCCCTTCAACTTGAACACTAAGTATACCTAGGGCCCTCAGATGTTGCGAGCCTTCATTAGCGAGTTGTCTAAGGCGTAACGCTGCTTCCCTAGGAATGGACAGCGTTACCCGCACTGAGTTCCAGGGCTCCAGTTTGTGTACTTTCACTGATTCACCCAAAATATTATTTAAACTATTCACCAGTAAGTTCAACTGTGTAGGGAACCTGGGATCTGACAGGTCCCCTTCACAGGTTAATATCGCAGAAAGTTCTGTATATCCGTCACTATTTGCTGCCATTTAAGACCGGCATGGTGAGCCGCGATCGCTCCCATGTGAATTCACATGCTGAACGAGAGCCATCCAAAGTACTTTTTAGGCACCTAAAAAAGAACGATAATTAATATATACATATTTATATACGCGACGATGCTGGATAAATCATTTGGTGAAGCAAATCAAAGGAAAAAACTGTCTAATTCGTTAAAAATTACACAAGTGAGACAAGATACGCGATTTCTATCCAGTTTCGAACGATTAAACAGCACCAATATCGCAAAATAAGAAGATGGATATGATCGCAGCCATCTTGTTCCTTTGACGGGGGAGTGTTATTCCATGTGTTCTAATGGAAAAATTACGGTTCACAAACTCGTTTAGAACTCAAACTTGGTCAAATTAGACAATTAACGCTATGCAGAATGTTCTTGCAGAATTTGCAATCGTCCTCTCATACATAAGTTGGAATATTTATTACGGAAATTGATTTGCTTACGGCCAAGAAACATTATATACCCCATTTTATGTGACATACTTTTGACACTCAAATGAAGAATCCAGTGGAAAAGTCTTGTTAAGCACTTAGACAATTAAACTATGTGGTCACTATATTGTACAATTTTATGTAAAAAGATTGTATAAGCACTCATAATCTTATTACAAATAATTAAACGCTTTCAACAATAACAACTTGACGCCATTCGTCATGCGTAAACTGAATGCGCACAGGTTTAACACGAAATCGAACTATCACGGAAATAAATTTTTGACATTTAAAAACTGACAGGATCACGTTGTCATACGTTTTACTCCAGCTAATCCGAAATCTCGAAAAATATTTGTTGTCCTTTTCTTATATTCTGATATTATTGATCTATCTCTTTTTGAAATATATACAATATATATTGCGTAAAAGAAATGAACGGATCTAACATATGAATAGAAAAATTGACAGTTGGAGGTGATTTCAAAAATAGAAACTAGTAAAAACGGCACGTGGTAGCTTTTACAAATATTATTTATTGTTTTTGGTTTAACTTGACAATATATTTATGTTCATAACTTCACTAGTTAAATTATAAATGTTTTTTATAATTAAAATTATGTGACGATGATCATTAATCATTACATTTGGCAGCATTGTATGGCATTTTTCCCATAATTTTTTTATTCTAAAACAATAACCTTTTGTTTAAACTTATTCGTAAGTAAAAATAATTTAATTTTATACCTACAATTTTAAATAGTATTTGTAGACTGAAGATAAATTGCAATGAAAACAAAAAACTAAATTAAAAAAAAATTGAATGTTTAATGTTTTGCCCACTGACATCTATCGTATAGCAGGGGCGTTGGAAAGACTTTTGGTAGGTAGAGAGGGGGTAAACGTCAAACCACGTCGGACGACTTCGAGAATTTCGCGGTTATGTTTACCTGCCAGTGTCGTTTCACAGAATAAGTACTTTTAAATTGTTACCGGTGGAACCGGACAATCGCATGTATTTAAGGACTAGAAATAATTATTTACCAAGTTTTATAATATCCCAAATCATAATTCTATAAAATTTCAATAGCTATTTACAGTTTATTAAACTATTTACCTGAAATTTTTATTAAATCTATAAAATAATTTTGTACGCCAATGTATCGCGTCCCCTTCGGTTACCTCCTTCTTCCATGGTTAATTTCTGTGTGTGAAGTGGGAGAACTGCGAAACGCCTTTCCAATTTCTCTCCCTTTTACAGAAAACTGTTTAATAAGATTACAGTGGCATTCATTAGGTGGCAATACTAAATCACTAAATTGTAATTTTAAACAGTTTTTAATTGAACATGCATTTATTTAGAAAACATTAAATTTATTTTACTGTTTATAATTTGCTACTTATCGAATAAATTTAATATATTTACACAAAAATTAAAATTGTTAAAAAAAATGGCGTACACTAACACTATATAATATCAATAAATATATCAATATCATCATACAACGCTAACACTGTAGGGGTAGATAACTATATTTTAAACTCGTTAAGATCATTGATGCGACTGTAAGAAATATTAGTTGTATTAAAAAAATATTAAATGTACTTTTTGATAATTCAATTAATTAGAATACCACTACCCAAGCAAATTATTGAAATTAACCTCCCATCTATCGGCGAGAAACTAAAATAGGTACTGGTATTATTGATGTATCCATTTCCATCATTGCCAGATCTCCAAATATGTTTAAAACTGTTTAATATGTACACTTGTAGAACGCTTGTAGTATAAAAACATATATTATTTTTCTTGATCTTCATACGTTTAAGAACCAACCTCACAGGCAGGTATGTAAAGTTAGCACAACGATCTTAGCACAATCAATCAGAACCTTATCTATTAGTCCGTCAGATAGTGACAGGTTTAGGTGCCCCATTTTCGCATACAAGCCTTGAAGAGGGTTGAAAAGTACATCGATTTTAAGTAGAATGAAAGGAAATTTACGAGTGGCTGCTGGGGATAACACATGGAAAATTAGATTTTCCCTAACAAAAACGAAAGGCTATTTATTGCCCATTTTTCCACGCAAGCCGTTTTCACTATATGATTAATTAATAGAACTAGGCTTCGGAAAACCAAAGGCTTTAATTTTGCAAGTGGCTAAAGGGTTGAAATAAGGGCGTAATCTTCTAAGGAAAAATCGACATTTGGCCCGATTTTTCCACACAAGCCCATCGAATGTATGAAAACGTACGTCGTCACTAGTCAGGAAAACATATTTTCTTGAATAACCCGAATGTTTAAGTGCATTTTAGGGTCGGAAAATTTTTCTAACAAGAAAAATCGAATTTTCCATGTGTTATCCCCATGAGCCACTCGTAAATTTTCTTTTATTCTACTCAACATCGATGTACTTTTCAACCCTCTTCGAGGCTTGAATGCGAAAATGGGCCACCTAAATCGGTCACTATCTGACGGTCTATATAATTATGTGCGAATTATGTGCAATTTTTGTGCGCTATTAACGATTTTTGTGCATTTATAGTTTTTTTGTAATTAAATATTGTGCTAGCTTAACGTTAAGTTAGCACAACTTTTTATTATTTATCAAGTAATTTTAATTTCAATAACACCATAATTTTGTGCGTTTTTTGTGCAAATTATGTGCGGAATCAAAAATAAATTTGGTCAAATATATTCTTTTTTAATTAAATATTGTGAAGATTAATGTTTTATTTAGCACAACTCTTTATAATTTATCAAGCAATTTTAATTTAAATAATACCATAACTTTGTGCGTTTTTTGTGAAAATTATGTGTGGAATCAAAAACCAATTTGGTTAAATATATTCTTTTTAAATCAATATTGTGCTATTAATTTTAAATATCAAGTTAGCGCAACTCTATCATTTATTATGCAATTTCAAATATTAATAGTGAATAATAATGATTTAGCAAGTTGGGACTCATCAGAAATATTTATATTTTGGAGTAAGGATGACAAAGAACTTGGTGGATATGCTTGTTTGTGGACAATAAGCACTGATGATGGCACCTTGCCGAAAGCGCTCTGCATTTAATTATGAAATATTTTGCACGAAATACAAGTCTTTCCTTTTTTAATCTAAACTACGTGCACACAGCCGTCAACCTTTTTTGGTTATTTTAATATTTAAAAAATATTTTTATATCATTCGGTAGTAACAAAATTGCGGTATTTATTTGATTGAAATTGCATAATAAATGATAGAGTTGCGCTAACTTGATATTTAAAATTAATAGCACAATATTGATTTAAAAAGAATATATTTAACCAAATTGGTTTTTGATTCCACACATAATTTTCACAAAAAACGCACAAAGTTATGGTATTATTTAAATTAAAATTGCTTGATAAATTATAAAGAGTTGTGCTAAATAAAACGTTAATCTTCACAATATTTAATTAAAAAAGAATATATTTGACCAAATTTATTTTTGATTCCGCACATAATTTGCACAAAAAACGCACAAAATTATGGTGTTATTGAAATTAAAATTACTTGATAAATAATAAAAAGTTGTGCTAACTTAATGTTAAGCTAGCACAATATTTAATTACAAAAAAAAAAACTATAAATGCACAAAAATTGCCCAGAATTATAGATAAGGTTTTGATTGATTGTGCTCAGATCGTTGTGCTAACTTTACATACCTCACACAGGCCACCAACCTTATTCTTACATGTGGATGAACATTTTTCATTTTAATTCAATTATTTGCAGACAAACAAACTAATGTTTAAGTTAATAAGTACGATTTAAAAATGCTTATTAAAACTTTCATGAAGTAGGTAATAAAACACAAAGTAGACTAAAATTATTGTATTTATTTAAAGATTTTTAACTTAACAGTAGTAGTGGTAGCTAATACATTCTAACAATATTGGTATAATTACTTCTTGTCTGGTTCACAGGAGTCGAAAAGTCCCTTATTTCTGATTTGGTTGAATGACTTTTCAATATCATATGTCCTAAAAATAAAAAAATATTTTTATCATTAATTTAAAGCATAAATTTAGTACTTATTTTTATTAAAACACTGTTATTTTGAGATGTTTTAGAATCTAAATTGAACATTAAAAAATTAAGTAAGAAATTTCAAAATCAAATATAAATTATAAAATATTTATTGAGAAACATGTTAAAAAGTGAAATTTAAAAACATATTCTTTTACATCTACTGAAAGAAATATAATAGGTAATTTGACATACGAGCAAATATAAACAAAAGTAAAAAATTCAAGAATTTCACCAGTGTCACATTATAGAATAAAAATAATACCATCATAAATTGTTACTAGTGGATTCAGGCAATCATATGTATTTATGGTCTAGAAATAATTATTTAAACAAGTATTATAATATCCCAAATCATAACTCTCTACAAAATTTCTACAGCTATTCGCAATTTAATAAATTATTTACATGATTAGGCAAAATAATTTTCTATGCCAATATATCGTGTTCCCTTCAGTAAGCTCCTTGGAAAAACAGTCAGTTCCTGTGTATGAAGTGGGAGAATTGCGAAAAGCATTTCAAACTTCTGTCCCTGCTCTACTTTACAGATTAGCATGGAATGTAATTAGTGTCTTGAAAATGTTATTGGGATAATGGGATGATCAATGACAATTTTGTACCTACAAGTATGTGGCTAAAGAAAACATTTTCATGTGTAGCCAGTAAAAAATTCTTCAATTTAGTGTAACCATGTTAGAAAGTTCGCAAATCTTATATTTTACAAAAAAGTCCTTGAGCTATTACACAACTTAATTTTCCATGTTTATTCTTTAATATTTTAAATCGTATCATGTTTTCTTTCACGAAGACATCTCATGAAAGAATACTAGTGGATATGTACCTAAATCTCTCTATTTAAACTTACTTGTAAAAAGCAGCGTATTGATTTTTCTTGGCATCATTAACAAATACTTTTTGTATAACAGCAGCAAGGGTAGCAACACCAGCAGCAAAAAGAATGTTCTTCTTGATTTGGCCAGCAAGGAGCCCCCGAAGTTGGGGCTTCGAAACTTTGCTTACTTCTCCTCCAGCCATTTTACTTCTAAAAAAATAATTACATAACGGAACGAAACGGAAAGGGAGGTTATGTTCCAGTAAAGGCAAATCTTTAGAAACAAATAAGTATGAATTAATGAATTTATTTAAAAATAAAAATATGTAACTTAATGTACATAGGTAGTTAAAATAGATTAGAAAAATACTCACGTTATATTTTATTTTAGCTATTCAACTGTTCTAAAAATTTAATAGATTGAAGTTAGCGTCAAGAAAAAAAATTAGTTAACATCACTACCATGTTGCCAAGACTGGTTCTGATTATTGTCAAAAAATTTAGATTTTATTTTAAAATCAAAATAGATATAATTTAATCACTAATTTTTATAAATGAATTTATTTTTAACAAAAAACACCTTTTACATTGAAAACAAATGAAATAAGATGTATGAAAAGTGAAAATAGGGATTAGGTAGATACCTATTAGACGTCTTATTTTTGTGTAATAGAAACTTGATTTTAAATATATAATTTTCTCTCTCCAATTGATCTGTTAAAAATAAACTTACAATGTTTTAAAGTAAATCAGAAGTTAAAGTTATCTGAGTTTATACGGGCTTTATTTTATATAGCTTTAATTTTTTTAATTTCCATATTTTCAGATTTTAATTAAGATTTGACAACATCGCCTCTTCTTCATATTTGGGAATTCATACAAAAAGAAATCTTAACATTTCTGGTTTGTAGTTACTTCTGACTTTTGAATATTAAAAAATAGATAATAAATACAAATTTTAGTAGGTACCTAAAAATTTATATTACAACTTCTATATTTTTCTAACAAAAAATAATTATTAACTTAGTTCTAATCTTCTGCATCGCATGAGTCAAAAAGTCCCTTCTTCCTCATTCTTTGGAATTCTTTTTCCGCATCATAATTTCTGAAAAATAGAAAAACATACCTTGAAGTTATTTCACTCTTTCCTTGAACTTATATTAATCTTCAACAATCGAATTATCTTTGGAAATTGAAACGTATTTTTTTAGATTTATGCAACCAGTATAATAGGTACCTATTGCCCAAGTGTAATTAGTATTGCCAACATTGCGGGGCTCTATCCCGAAATAGCTCTGAAGGAAATAAAGCCTTTTAAAATAGCGCGTATCAAAAGAGCGTCTAAACGAAATATTGCTTATTACAAAAGAGTAAGTCAAAACAACCACGATCAAAATAGCACCTGAACAAAATGGCGTCTATTAAAACAATGCGTTCTGAAAGAGTGATCCAGAGCGAACTAGGGCCAGATTTAAATGGAGCTGTTTTAACTAATTTACTTAACCTGTGCGGCCTGGAGCCATTACGGGTTGCTGCGCATTTTTTTGCATCAAATGAGAAAGAAACTTAACTAATTTACTTAACCTCTGTGGAGCCGTCGCAGTTGTTTCGCAAACAAATTATACATAAAATTGAAAAAAAATAAAAAATAAACTTAACCAATTTACTTTACCTGTGCTCATGCACAGATTAGGTAAGTTGGTTGTTTTTTTTTAATTTTCTCATTTTATATATATTTATTTACCAAGCAACCCGCGATGGCTTTAGGTCGCACAGGTTAGATTAATTACTTTCTAATAATTTTTATGTAAAAACAAAATTGCCAAGCAACTCGCGATAGCTCCAGGTCGCATAGGTTAAGTAACTTAGTAAATACAGACCTGTCTTAAGGCTCTAGTTAGATGGAACGCTATTTCGATACGCAGCGCTATTTTAATGAAAACTATTTCGGTCAGGCGCTGTTTCGTTACGCGCTATTTTGTTGGGCGCTATTTCTCTCGGGATTTATTTCGTTACGCACGCCATTTAGATTAGTCGCTCAAATAATAACGCTATTTTGACACGCGCTATATCGCCCTATATGAAAGACCTTTTTTCGTTTTTCATTTTATCTAAACTACCTAACCTAATGATTCGAATTCTCTAGTAATCGAAAGTTAGAGGTTTACTGGCTACATCTATTTCAGATCGGCGGCCGCCCGGAGAATTTTAATATAAATCTGGAGCCTAGAGGATGATCGCCAAACCCGGAAGCTCCAAGTCAAAATGACGGTGTTAGCAACCCTAAGTGTTATAGGTAGTGGTTAATTTATAGTTAAATTTGATTTGTAAATATTTGTTTATAAGGTTTTCACTCAAATAAACTGCCTATGAAGTTGTTGCTTCGGTGGAAAGCGTACTGTAAGAATAGAACACTGCTACCCAGACAGCAAAAATTTGTCAAAGGATGTCCATTCGATATATAATTTTGGATGCCTGGACGTCAAAAAATTGTTGTTTTTTTTTCTGGACTTCCGACATCCAATGGACGTCCGGTAAAGTACACAAATGGCACATTTTTTATCATTCAGAGGACGTCCCTTTCCGGATTATATTTGGACGTTGAATACAGGATATTCGAAAAACATCTATTCCTGGATTATATTCCATTGAGACCACATCCCCACTTTTTTACACCACCGCAATTTACACACTATCTTATAATTATTAATAATTTATTTATTTATTATTTCCACAACCCTCTATACACCATTTCTTTCCTTTTTTTAATTAAAAATCGGTTTACCTGAACGGGAATCGAACTCACGACGTGTCCGTTAACATTATATATGGCGCATTCAACCGCTAGACGATTTTGACCACCCAATGAACACACGTACGTATAAAAAACGTCGAAAACTGGTTAACAACCAAACGTATAAAACGAATAAAAATAGTTCAAATGTCGCGGAAAATAACATTATTTGCAACCAAACGTTATAACAAAACGTATTATTTCATAAAATTTTCAACATTCTGTTAAAAATTACTAGAAAAATACGTTAGAAAATAGTGTTATATGTACGTATCACTATCAACTAAAATTTCAACGTTGAATTTTCAACCAATAACGTTTTTTGTACCATATAACGTTAAATTTACGTTGAAAAACGAATAGGTGTTCATTGGGCAAGGGGCCACTTGAATACTTTTTACTAGATATGGTTATAATAGAATACGATTTCAAACTTCCGCTGATAGAATGAAATGAATAGATTCAATTTTTCAATTTCTAATGACCAATTATATTTAAAAAAAGAAAGTGTATATACAGCTGGGTATTATATGGTAAGCTAAATAAATAATGACTTAAGATGGACATTCACTGGACTACTAAACTTATAATAATATAATAATTAAGTCAAAAACAGACATCCTCTGGGTATCGATAAGCAGCTGTCAAATTAATGATCATAAACGTGCGTACAGATATCCGAATACGGATGTGGACGTTCTGATCCTCAAATGGATCTAAAATGTCCGTCCATTGGACTATGTGTGCTGTCTGGGTATATACCAAGATATTTTTCCAAGTTCTAAGTGTGGTTGTAAGCCGGAACATTTTTTGTGGTTCTTCTGCGCTTCCATAGTTTTCTATATAACATTCTAAAATAGATAATATTAATTTTGGTGATATTTACAAATAGAAATTGGCGTAGGCTCTTTTCCTTCCGTCTCCATAGATAAATCGCATATAGCATCCTGCGATGACAACTGAAATTCCAGTGAATAGAAGATTTCTCTTGATTTGAGAGTGAAGAAGACTTCGCATTTGTGGTGGTTTCGGGATTTTTCCTACGACCTCAGACGACATTTTCTGTAAAAAAAAAAAATGTTTATCAAGTTGTGAATGGAGACTAAATGGCTCAAATATTGATGTCTAGACCTGTAAGAGAAGCGTCGAGGTTCGATTCACACTAGTGTCTGAATTTTTTAATATTAATTAATTAATTACTTAATGCTGAAGGGCCTATCATACCTGTCGGTTCTAAACGTTCGAAGTAGGATCGTATATGCGGATGTTAATTAAGGAACAGCGATAACAGATGCAATACTAGAAGGGATAACAAAAGAAAGTTCAGAAAAGCAGATATTGTTGATGTATTTGTAGAAACGAGACAAATAACCAACGTTTTTTTGTAAAATTTAAGTCGTTTTTAGGCAGACAGCTCTCCTTTGAATAGTATGAAATGTTCTGTATTTGTAACGTGTGGCCTCACTAGGCCCATTATGCATACTTCTAAATAGATAGGCACCTCCTAGCTCGTGAGCCAGCCTACAGATTTAGTATGAAGTGTTGTAAATGTTGTTACTTCCCAAATGTGTGCGCAATATTGAAGGTTAGGTCATACCAGCGACTGAGGTGAGATAATGGATTCATAGTAATGAATAAGACATCTATATGACTATGTCAAATCAGGTCTTGAGAAATGGTGACCCCCACTAGCATGAAGGAGTTCTCATTAAACAAAAGCTAATTGATTCTGCTAATTTTCATTAGCGCACGGTCTAGTGGTTGGCATGTATTTGTTTTGAGTTAACAGGATTGTATTTTTTTTTGGTGTGTCAGTAGGCTTTGTTATTGTTTCCCAGCGCCACTTTAGGAATAGCACTGTTAATTAGAACCCAACAGTAAATGGTCGAGTGGGGAATCCTACCAAGGCATCAGAATTAATTTTAAATAATTAAATTAAATTAAAAAATTCCGGCCAACGGTGGGATTCGAACCTGGGATCCTTGGATCCACAGGCAGAGGCTCTACCACCCCCAATGTCTTGTTAATGATTTTTTAAAATTCGCCAAAATTAGTGGCTAAAACGTCTCGTTAAGTGCTGTCTTTTGGTGTAAAGTGGTGTAAATCGTTGCAAGAAACGAATAATGACTGAGAGTGTACGACACGATAGTTACAGACGCGTTACACCAGACAGCAGCACTTAACTAGGCGTTTTAACCACTAATTTCGGTGAATTTAAAAAAATCACTAACAAGAGAATAAGAGCCTAAATTTGGGGATTATATTAAGAATAGTGCTGTTGAGGAATGCATTTATTTTCAATGTAATATTTCAAAATTTAAAGACCCTTGATTTTTTACAATAGTAGGAATTAAAACCTTAAAATATATGCATAGTCTAGATATTATTGCCTAATTTATTTTGCCAAAATTTTAATTTTTTAAAAAAATTACTCTTGCTTGTCCGAAAATTATAAGGGGTGCTGTAATCACCTTAATATATAGGATATAGGGTTTGATTCTTTAAGATTGCTATGAAAGTCATTTTAAAAAACCGACTCAAAAATTAAGAGTTTGATTATTTTCTCATGGATCTATCATCAGATCTTGTTTCCAGATAAATAATTTATTGCAGAAATTATATTTTGTTTTTT